TGGCCAGTGCCGGTTCAAGCCTGGAAGCAACCCTGCACCCTGGGATGCTCCCCCTTGAACCTAAAGCTGCTTAAAAGGGATTCGGGGTTTAGGGTTTAGGGTTTAGGGTTTAGGGTTTAGGGTTTGGGGTTTAGGATGTACCCCGCATCATAATCCCTATGAAGGACTGCGAGAATGAGGGTGAACATCCCAATCCTACACCCTAAACCCGAAACCCTAAACCATAAACCCTAAACCCTAAAAACCCTAAACCCTAAACCCTAAACCCTAAACCCCTGTCTCGGCCGGAGATGCTAAGGTGCCTTCCGGCTCCTCATGTGGGCTCTTGAAACCTGCAGTTCAGCCTCCAAAGTAAGAGATTCCTACTCTTGGCTGCACTTAGGTGGGTTTAGGGTTTAGGGTTTAGGGTTCAGGGTTCAGGGTTTAGGGTTTAGGGTTTAGGGTTTTCATTTTTCAGCTGCCTTATTAAGAAACCCAATAAGCCCAAAAAGGCTAAGGATCTAAAGCTACAATACAGACCACAAAGTACTACTTCGGGGTCTGTATTAGGGCTCCCTTATTATCGTAAACTCCCAGAGCAAGATTAAGCCTAAACCCTAAGCCCTAAGCCCTAAGCCCTAAGCCCTAAACCCCTCCCCCCAGAGGCAAGATTGCAAGCCAGGGAGCATGTCGAATTTCTTTACCTTACTTCTCCAATAACCAAGTAGGAAAAAGGTTAAACTTGAATATTCCTCATAAGGAAACCCAAAAACCCTACACTCTAAACCCTAAACCCTAAACCCTAAACTTTGAACCACAAAAAAGGGAAAAGGGTACCACTGGGCTACCAAGTTACGGGCCGCGACCGGTTCCACATCGCCATGCGGGCGTTGGCATCCAGCTCCATGGGCGATCTCAACCACATCCTTCGGCTAGGGTTTAGGGTTTAGGGTTTAGAGTTTAGGGTTTAGGGTTTAGAGTTTAGGGTTGAGGGGGTATATAACTCAAGGGGCCCAAACAATACTCCCTGAGCTTCCCTAGGTACCTACCCATAAACCCCCTCCCTGAAGGACCCTTTAACTCTTGGTAGCCCCGTAACCATACTATGACGCTACCCTTGTTGGGGGTTGGTCACCGGGAAGCAGAACCAAAACAACTATGGAAAAAAGGGTACCGCTGGGCAACCAAGCCTTGTTGTTGTTGGACCCTTTCTAGTCACCATGCGCTAAGCTCCATTCCCTGCCGGCTTTGCCCCAAAGGCCCACAAAGGCACCATGATTTAGTGACCCCACCCACCCACCCTCCCCCCCTCCCGCCCGAAATCCTGAACCCTGAACCCTGAACCCTAAACCCTAACCCTAAACCCTAAACCCTAAACCCTAAACCCTAAACCCCAAACCCCAAACCCGAACCCCTAAACCCTGAGCCTCGCAGCTTGAGCCCCAGCCCCCAAGTTGCGAACCTTGCATCCTGATCTCAAAGAACTGAAGGGAAGTTTAGGGTTTAGGGTCTAGGAAAGCCCTGGCAACCCTGATTTTTTCAGCACAAAAGTGCCACGAAACGCCTCCCAAACCCTAAACCCTAAACCCTAATCCCTAAACCCTAAACCCCTTTGCCAAAGCGTCTGGCCGCCCCACCGGAGGGAGTGGCGAAGGGAACTTCCTCGAACAAGCTCCCAGTCAACCTGGGCTTCTTTAGGGCCTAGGATCTAGGGTTTAGGGTTTAGGGTTTAGTGTTTAGGGTTTAGGGTTTAGGGCTTAGGGTTTCTGCTGGGCAGTCTCTTCATCGTCGTCCCTTGGTTCTAGTATGGGGCCTTGAAAGGGGAGTTTAGGGCCTACCTAAGGTTTAAAGCGAAAAAAGCGAAAGCCCTGAAACCCCAGAACCCTGGAAAAAACCTCGAAGTATTTTGAGGAGTCAGCAGTCTGGGAGGGGGGTTCAAGCGAAAGTCCTAAACCCTAAGAACCCTGAGACTCTCTGAGCTTCCTGTTTTAGGGTGTAGGGTTTTAATACTTCCTAAACCTCAAACACTATAAGCTCCAAACCCTAAATCCCATAAGCCCCAAAGAGCAAAGACCCGAAACCCTGTAGATTCTTGGCCCCGATGAACGCTCAACCTCAGCCCTCAACCCTAACCACTAACCGCCAATGACCCTAAAGCCTACAAACCCTAAACCGCCTAAAGCCCTCTACCCTAAAAAACCATCCTAAACCCCAAACTCTAAACCCCAAACCCCAAACCCTAAACCCTAAACCCCAAACCCTAAACCCCAAACCCTAAACCCTAAACCCCAAAACTCCTAACCGCTGATCACCCTGAAGCCCTGTCCGGCCTGAAGGTGCCCAAAGGTGGCCAGCCGCTCAAACTTGTCCGGAACCTCTGCGGGTTTAGGGTTTAGGGTTTAGGGTTTAAGGCTGCTACAGGGCATAAACAGGGTATATGCAGGGCTTAATTAGAGCATAAACGGGGCATAAACAGGGCTCACAGTGCTGACGACGTAGGGTTTAGGTTTAGGAGTAGTTTCCAGGGCTTAACCAGGGCACAAACAGGGCTTATAGGGCTTACCGCTTAGGTTCAGGGGGTTTAGGGGGGCTTCGGTCTCAAATCGGGGACTGGAGCTTAGGGTTTAGGCTTTAGGGTTTACGGGTCCTGCTGCCTTACGAGCTCTGGAGAGGAACGCAAAGGTCTTACAGGGTTTAGGGTATATAGGTTTATAGGCCTAGGTTTATAGGGTTTAGGGTTTAGGGTTTAGGGTTTAGGGTTTGGGGTTTAGGGTTTAGGGTTTAGGGTTAGGCTTGCTCCAAATTGAAGCTTTCGGGCCCTGGCAGTCCCCAATTCTCCTGTCAGACCTCCTACAAACCCTAATACTTCAGAGGAATGGGGTATAGGGATTCGGAAGGAGATAGGGTTTAGGGTTTAGGGTTTGGGGTTTAGGGTTTAGGGTCTAGGGTATAGGGATTCGGAAGGAGATAATGCCAGCAACTATTTAGGCTCCGGTCTACGGTTCAGGGGTTGCTCAAATCAGGGATCCGCAAGCAACTCACAGTCCTTTTGTAACCCAGATATGTCCTTCAAAGAGGTAACCCTAAAACCCTAAACCCTAAACCCTAAACTCTAAACCCTAAACCCTAAACCCTAAACCCTAAACCCTAAACCCTGAACCCTGAACCCTGAACCCTGAACCCTAAACCCTAAACCCTAAACCCTAAACCCTGAACCCTGAACCCTGAACCCTGAACCCTGAACCCTAAACACCATTCCAGGCAGGGCACGTTGCTGAGCCTGGCTTCTTCCAGACTCTCGGCAGTCTTTGCCAGGGCATCTGCGCAAGAGGGGATTTCCTGGTCAACATGTGTGTGAGTCGACACAACTAGAGTTCAGGCTGCATCTCAAGAACAAGTAGGGTTTATTCCAACCCTCAACCCGAAAAAAAAACAAAAACTATGGGCATAGGTGCCCGATACATATTTCTATTTCGGAGCAACATAACAACATAAGATGGACCTTCATAATCCTCTTTAACCCAATAAGGGGAAATATGAAACGTCCAAAGGGCCTACCTAACAAACCCTAAACCCTTAGCCTAGACCCTTAAACCCTTAAACCCTAAACCCTAAAACCTAAACCCCCAAGTAAGCCACACAGCAAAGTGGCATCACTGCTGCTCCTTGGCTGCGGCACCTGCACATGCTCTAATCAAAGGACTAAAGGAGGGACCCTTATGAGTTTAGGGTTTAGGGTTTAGGGTTTAGGGTTTAGGGTTTAGGGTTTAGGGTTTAGGGTTTAGGGTTTAGGGTTTAGGGTTTAGGGTTTAGGGTTTAGGGTTTAGGGTTAGGGGCCCCCTCAGGTCTGTCGGGACCCAGGGTCCCTCTTTATGCCCCTTAATCAGAGCCTCAAAGCTGAACCTCTTCCCCAAGGGTCCAAGCGCCAGATTAAGGTTTGGGGTTTAGGGTTAGCTTTAGGGTTTTGGGGGGGGGTTTGGGGGTTTGGGGGTTTAGGGGTTTAGGGGTTTAGGGGTTCAGGGTCTGGAGTTCACCTAGATGGGCTCAGGGTTTAGGATTCCGTGTACCTAAATAAGGACTACTCGGGCCTTATACAGTGCTTCCTGTGTTGGGACCCACTGTAGTGAGCAAGGACCCTTACAGGGCTCGGGTTCTCACCTAATATAGGGGCCGGAAAAATCGCACATGATATTCCTGTATGGTCCCTTTTATAATTATACTGCAATCGCCTGGTTACCCACAGGGCCTCCTTTCTCCAACCCTGCCCCAAACCCTACCTTAAGAATCAAGAGCCCTTGGTGCAGGCTCTTATTACACAAGCCCTGATAGGATTCTTAGTCTTAGGTAGCCTATGAGAATTGGTTTTGGCTCTCAAGGTCCAAGGTATCCTAATTCCCGAAAGTCCCCCTACTAAGAGCCGCTAGGCTAGACACCACCCTAAACATCCCCTCAGGTTGTCAGGGGAGGGGCCTAGGGCGCCCATTTTAGACCTTTTGTTGGCCCCAACTGTGCTATTTCCCAGGGACTGGGCATAACCCGGGCAAACCATTTTAGACCTTTTGTTGGCTATGGACTGCATCTGCAACATGGCTAAGACAACCCACAGCCGGGCCCAAAGAGCGCGACACCGACAGGTCTGCAATGGCAAGCCGGGAAGGGTCTAAAATGCCTCTGGACCCATTTCAGACCCCTGGTTCCCTGACACCGAAGGGTCACCATTTAAGACCCCCCGCAAGCTGAGGGGATCCCTAAACCCTAAACCCTAAACTCCTTGAGCGCCTTGAGGCGGCTGGTCTTCGACCCCATCGTTGCGCCAGCGACTAAAGCTTGAGCCCAAGGAAGGCGGTATGGGCGTCAACACGCTTGCCCTAAACACTATAAACCCTAAACCCTGAACCATAAACCCTGTGGCCCTTTGGCCCTATGAGCCTAAGAGTCTTCAGGTGTGAAGAGCCTCGGGTGGTGTTTTTTTTTTTTTTTTTTTGAGGGGGGGGGGGGGGGGGGGTTGGCAGGCAAGGGGCCTCTGCTGGAGCTCCTGCGTCAGAGGCACATCAGAGCCGGCTGTCAGCAGCACGAACCTGGCGCAGCACATGTATGGGTTAGGGTCTTATAGGGTTTAGGGTTTAGGGTGCCGGGGCTTAGGGTTTAGGGTTTAGGGTTAGGGTTTAGGGTTTAGGGTTCGATGCCCTCAACATGAAACGCATGAACCCAGAGCCCTGAAACGCCAAAAACCCGAAGCCCTGAACATGTGGGTTTCGGGTTTAGGGCTTAGGGTCTAGGCTCCTCCGCTGAAAGAATCCTACATTGACCCTTAACCTCCGAACCCAAAACTCCCAAAGACCCTCAAGCTCCTGTGACCAAACGCCAAAAATCTAAACCTCCAAAGCCTAAAACCCCATGAAGCCTGAAAGGTTTAGGGTTTAGGGTTAGGGTTCTGCATCTTGAAACCTACAATCCCCCTTGCTTATGTGGGAAAAGACCTTAGAGCGGCGCTCAATTGAACCGGTATCGAACTGCAGCGGGGTATAGCAAACGGCAAGCAACCTCGGGGACTAAATGAACCCTAAACCAGTTTATGGCCCACATGCCTTAACAGGGCTTCGTAGTATAGGGTATCTGACCGCAATTATAAGGTTCTTTTGGTCTTCCCCTACACTGAGGGTTCAGAGTTTAGGGTTTAGGGTTTTGGGACATAGGGACTTTGTGGCCCAAGTATAGAATGCTGATGTGTATGGACCCTTAGGTCCAAGCCCTATAGACCATAGCGCTGAAACCTGTCCCTGACCTTATCCCAAACCGTATCGCCAAAAGTGCCCGGAGCATCCAAGCACGTTGTGTTTTCTTTGAGGTTCGGGGTCCCGAAACAACCATTATCCTATGTGATCTTTGGACCCATGGGGTCACCCTAACCTTAGCCTTCCTTCCAAGTGGAGATTAGGGGTCCTGAAACAACCATCATCCTCTGCACCCTCTGGCTAATCGCCCATGCAGAGGTTCCTCCTACCCCCCCCCCCCCCTTCTATACTACCCCCCCCCCCTTCTATACTACTCCCTAGGTTCCCTAAACCCTAAACCCTAAACCCTAAACCCTAAACCCCATGAATTAAGGGCATTTGGGGGGGGGGGGGGAACCAAAGGCGGGGCAGTACAGAGGGGGGTATCCTAAACCCAAAACCCAAAACCCTAAACCCTAAACCCTAAACCCTCAACCCTAAAGCCTAAACCCTAAACCCTAAACCCTAGGGTAGTAGGGAAACCTGTATGAAACCTCAGCCTTCACACCAAGTGGCGGTGGTGTCGCGACGCCTTCTAGCAACTCCAGGAACCTCATGCAGGATGTAGGGTTTAGGGTTTAGGGTTTAGGGTGTAGGGTGTAGGGCTTAGGGTTTAGGGTTTAGGGCTTAGGGTTTAGGCCCCTTTCTATCCTAGTCTGGGCGATGCCCCTGGCATGGGCACTCCGAACTCCGGTCCCTTTTTTGATGCAAGGACTCCAGAGAAAGCGACCCTGAGTTACAGTATAGGGTTTAGGGCTTAGGGCTTAGGGTTTAGGGTTGTAGCGCGTGGTACCCTCATACGCCCCACTACTCCCTAAAGCTCCGTAAGCACCTCCCTCCCTTAAGGACCCTATAATTATGTAGAACGGCCCTTAAGCCTCCAGGGCTGGCATCTTGCGGGCCAAAGCGGGCCAAAGCCCCTAAACCCAACCAAACTCCTCGAAGCCCCGAAGCCTGAAACCCAAAAGCCGCCCTAAACCCCCCCTAAATCCGAGCTTCTGGGAATATGGCGGCGTCTTGGCCTCTTCACTCATGGTGTTGGGCTTTTGAGGCTTAGGCGGGTTTAGTGTGCTGGGGATTTCGCGCTTTGGGGTTTCAGGGCCTTAAGGTTTTTCGGGGCTAGGGCTTGGGGTTGAGGGCTTTTGGGGTTTTAGGGTTTAGGGCAGCGGGTCTGGGTTAAGCCTAACCAAGAGCCAGAGAGCTCCTCCAAATAGCGTGTCTCCACAAACATCACCTGAGTCTGAGCGACCCTTGCAAGGACCACTCGCCAGATGCCAGGGTTCTGTTCAGCTGGTGTTTCTCGCGATTTCTCTCTCTCTCTCTCTCTCTCTCTCTCTGTCTCTCTCGCAACCCTAAACCCTAAACCCTAAGCCCTAAGCCCTAAGCCCTAAGCCCTAAGCCCTAAGCCCTAAGCCCTAAGCCCTAAACCTTGGGCCAAAGCACCAGCGGCTCATCCGCGGTACGCAGCCGCTGTGCAAGGGCCGCGGGAGCCCGATCCTTGTCCAGCCTGGGGTTTAGGGTTTGGGGTCCAGGGTTTGGGGTTTAGGGTTTAGGGTTTTCGGGTCAAGGGGGCTTTGGTGGGTGGAGTGGGTTTAGGGGTTCGGGGTTTGGGTTGTTTGGGGGTTTCGGGCTTAGTGTCTAGGGTTTTACGCTTTGAAGGGTTTAGGATGTTTAGGGGTGTTTAAGGGGCTTGAGGGGGTTTAGGGAGCTTTGGGGGCTGTAGGGGTTTGGGGATCATGGTTGAGGGTTTGGAGTTTTGTTTTTTTGGGTTTAGGGTTTAGAGCGTTAGACTTGATTATCCGTTTTAAGGGTTTCGGCTTGTTATTGAAATTCAACGGATGATAACTAGTAAAACAGCTCAGGCCCAAACAGCACAAAGCGAGAGCACCAGAAAGAACGACGCCCGGCTACCGTTTGTTTGCGGGGTTTGCTTGGCTTCCGTGCTACAGGGGCTAAGGGTTTAGGGTTTAGGGTTTGGGGTTTAGGGTTTAGGGCTTAGGGCGCCAGAGCGAAACAAACGAGTGAAACTCCCCCCGCTTGCCTGGGGGCCTTGTGCCCGGGCTCGGGTGCGTGCTGCCAGCTGTCAGATTGAGCCATGTACCTGCAGTATATCCGCAGCTTGATTGTCTTGTTTGGGATCTGCGGTTCAGTTTGGGTTCGAGGCTGAGGGCTTAGGGTTTCGGTTCAGGGCTTGGGCTCAGGCTTTCATGGTCTTGATCTCAACCCACGACCCTGTGCTCCTGCGAGGCTTTTCTCGGGTACCAGTGGGCATCCTGGGTAGGGTTTTAGGGGTTTCGGGTTTAGTGTTTTGGGTCTAGGGCATGGTCGCTTAAACCCTGAACCCTAAAACCCTACACTTAAACCAAGAAGCCTGAAAGACCCACACCCGTAAACCCTAAGGGAACCTGACTCAACTTAAAAGGGTAGTTGCGTGGCCGCTTAATAGGGACGCTTATTTGGGGAACCCTTCTATACCCCTTATATACGATGTAAAACTCAAGGGGCCGTACTTCGGACCCTTCAAGGAAGGTAATGGACCATACCAAGGGGACCATGTGGCTTCGTCTCAGCTCCTGCAAGCCCTGAACTCTTCGACCCCATGTAGGGTTTAGGGGTTCAAAGTTGCAAGTCCCGAAACCTTAAACAACTAAAGAACTAGACCGACCCTAACCCTAAACCCTAAACCCTAAACCCTAAACCCTAAACCCTAAACTCTAAACCCTAAACCCTGAACCCTATATTATAAACCCTAAACCCGGAACCTCTCAGAGAACTCCTGCCGCGCTGCGTTGAGGATGCGACGAGTCTCAAGTCCCGGCAGCGAGGATGTAAAGGATACCTGAGCGAAGAGAAAGGAGGTTTAGGGTTTAGGGTTTAGGGTTTAGGGTTTAGGGTTTAGGGTTTAGGGTTTAGGGTTTAGGGTTTAGGGTTTAGGGTTTAGGGTTTAGGGTTTAGGGCTCAGGGTTTAGGGAATTCAGGGTTTTGCTCCAACAAAAAAGGCCCTGAACCCTGAACCCTAAACCCTAAACCCAATGTGGTCGTGTCGCGTCCAGCTCGGAGCTTCGGTATCGGCCTGCGCCCACAAGGGGCAAGCTGAACGTTAATCTGAGCTTCTGCTGTTAGTAAACTTATTGTTCATGTGCTTACTTGAAGGACGCCGGGGGGCGGGGGGGGGGGGGGGGGGGGGGGGGGGGAGGGTTTGTAAAGAACACAGAAGACCAACGCCTGAGTCGCTATGAGGTCCAGGGTTTTAGAAGGTTTATAGGGGCGAGAGGGCTTAGAGGGTCTATTGTTTAGAGGGTTTTTAGCTCATCGGGCCATGGGGTTTACATTGGTTTACAGGGATTATAGAGTTTACAAGGTGTACCGGGTTCGACGCCTCGACTGCGCACAGAGAGAAGCATGGCGTGTCGTACTGCCACCCGGCATAGAGAACCTCGGCGAGGGCTTTTCTGTGGTTTCTTACATCCTAAATCCTGCGCCCCGCCTAAATACAAACCATCCTAAGCCCCAACTAGGGTTTAGGGTTTAGGGTTTCGGGAGCTGTGGTATCGGCCCTGGGGCCAGATACCGTAGCCCAAGTACGCCCCTCACGAGGGCGCGCGGAAGATGTCCCCAAATCACCTGAAAACCCACAAGTCACGAAGCAACCTGCTGAGCGTTTATGGTCTAGGGTTTGGGGTCTCGGGTTTAGGATGTAGGGTTTCATGATAGGATTTTGTGCAGGGTCGAGGCTTTGTGGCCTCAAGGATTTAGGGACTCCTGCGTACCCCTGAATTTAGGATTTAGGGGGTAAGGTTTAGGGTTTTTAGGGTTTAGGGTTTAGGGCTTCGAGATCCTGACCCAAGCCACTAGCCAGGCTAGGATCAGCCGCCGCGCGAGACGCGCGCCGGCGCACGATACCATGGGCGCGGCAGCTAAGAGGTCCACTTTGCTGGCTCAGGAATCAGAAAAAACCCTAAACCCTAAATCCTAAACCCTAAAGCCTAAAACCTAAAACCTAAACCCTAAACCCTAAATCCTAGAAAAACCTGAACCCTGAACTCCAAGGGACCCGTAGCTACACTAATACTAGATAAAGCCGGAGTTTCCTATGAAGGGGTTACTATTCTAAGGCGCCTCCACATGTGTGATTGGTACCCCAAAAGGGACCACAATTTAGAGAACTCACCAAACAGTGCCTTTTAGGACATACAAGAACACTATAATCAGAATAGAAAAAAGAACAATAAAAAACAACAAGGATAATACCAATACTAATGCAGTAATGATAACAACATTCATTAATAATAACAATAGTACTAATGGTAAGGTGAGTTCCCAATGGGGGTGTCTTGCTGTGAAGAAGAGCTGCGAGGCCCTTGATAAGCTGCAAAAAGCCAAGCCGAGGGCTCCCAAGCACGTAGCCCGCGCACTGTGGAAGGGTTTAGGGTTTAGGGTTTAGAGGTTTAGGGTTTAGGGTTTAGGGTTTAGGGTTTAGAGGTTTAGAGGTTTTAGGGTTTTGGGTTTGGGGCTTGAGGATGTTGTTTTGGGTACAGTGTAGGGTACCTCGAGCCCTGATTCACTAAGCCCCAAACCCCGTTATATACATCTAAGACACCTGAACTGCACGAAAACTCCCAAACTCAACTCACAATGGCCCGCCCTGAGCCCAGAGTACTGCCCCAGACACGACACCATAAAAGCCTTACACATCTTGAACCCTAATGTCAAACCCTACGTCTTCTAAATACCGCAAGCCCTGAATACCCTGCCCTAAGCCCTCTCAACCCCAAGTTGCTGGGTTTAGACGGTTTAGGGCAGGGGCCCTAAATACCCTAAACCCTGAAGATCCAAAGCCCTAAACAACCCAAAGCACGTACACCCTAAACCCAAAACAACCCCAACACCTAAACACTCTCAACCGAGAAACCCCAAAAAGCCCTCAACCCCAAATACCCTAAACCCGAAACCCGAAACCCTAAACCATAAACCCAAATACCAAATATCCTAAACCCTAAACCCTAAACCCTGAACCCTAAACCCTAAAACCCTAAACCCAAAAACAGCCCAAAAACCCGAAGCCTTTCCCATGGTCCAGGGCCCGGGGCCCGGTAAGCCAGCGCCTACTCGCCGGATGGGGGCACTACCTGGGTTTAGGGTTTGGGGCTTAGGGTTTAGAAGGATTCCGGTTTAGGGTTTAGGGTTTAGGATTAGGGTTTAGGGTTTAGGGTTTAGGGTTTAGGGTGTTAGGGTGTTAGGGTGTTAGGGTCTAGGGTTTCAGAGGTTTAGGGGTTTAGGGCTTTAGGGGTTGTAGGGGTTAAGCTCTATAAGGGTTTGGGGTTTAGGGTGTCAGGGTTTTAGGGGTTCAGGGTTTCACGGGCTAAGCCTGACACACTCACGCCCTAAAGCAGCAAACCTCAGTAACCTAATATCCGGGCCCTGAGCCTGGCGGCTGCGGTCCTGGGATTTCGGCTGCGTGCAGATATCGGAAACTTCTTGCAACCATATCTTTCTATTCACTCCTTCATCATGAAGCTCTGAACCCACGCCCCTCAACATTCCCCAAGCGCAAGGCCTCATAAAATAGCCCAAATAAGCTTTTCATACAAGCCTTAGTCCTTAGTGACCCAATATGGCCCCCAAAACTTAAAACCCTAAACCCATGTCCCGCCTGAACCCAAACCCTAAACCCTAATTCAACCCTTAACCCGCGAAAGCCTAAACCCGAAACTCAAAACCCTAAACCCGAAACCCTAAACCCTAAACCCTTCATTAAAAACTCTGAACCCTGAACCCTGAACGCTGAACCCTAAACCCTAAACCCTAAAGCCTCAAGCCTAAACCCTAAACCCTAAACCTTAAACCCTAAACCCTAAGCCGAGCATGGGCCCCTGTACACAAGGTACACAAGGTGCCAGGCCTACGCAGCTGGCGAGGTGCCGGAGCCTGGCAGAACTGCGCAGCCGGTAAGGGTCCAGGGTTTAGGGTTTAGGGCTTAGGGCTTAGGGTTTAGGGTTTAGGCTTTAGGGTTTCGGGTTTCGGGTTTAATTAGGGTTTAGGGTTGGGTTTAGGGTTTAGGTCCTAAGGTTTAAGGTTTCATACAGGTTTAGAAGGTTTAAGGATGTTTAAGGATTCTCTAAGGTTTAAGCTTCATCAGCTTAAAGGCTGGGTAGGAATGGCTGAAGCTCCACCATCTTCCAACGCAACGGCTTGCCTCTCAGAGCCAACAGTTTGGCTGCCTGAGCCCCAAGCCCTAAGCCCTAAACCCTAAACCCTAACCCCTAAACCCTACGAAATCTGGGCACTGCATTCCCTCCTTGGTTCCATAAACTCCCGTTTGGGAGGCTGACAGTATGCCATAAAAAATCACAGCCAGTGTCCATCCTTGGTGGCCCCTAAACCCTAAACCCTAAACCCTAAACCCTAAACCCTAAACCCTAAACCCTAAACCCTAAACCCGAAGTTCACAGATCCGATGTCGTGCTCGGCTTCCTACACGAGCATCAGGTGGCACCAATTGGAATGGCGGCTGGGCCGTGCGCCGGCGTCCAACCAACTCGGCCCTGGCCAGGAACCACGAGGAGCCATTCTTCAATAGGCTCCCGCAAGTTTTTAGGGTTTAGGGTTTAGGGTTTAGGGTTTAGGGTGGCCAAGAAGCTGGAGACATCTCCATGGAGACGCGCCACGCGGTCGGCAAAATCTTAGAGCCCCTTCAATGATATGAAATTGAAATCAGAAAGTTGGACAAGGATAAAAGATAAAAATAGTTTATGGTAGATATACCGTAGAAACTAGTTTAAAAAAAAAGTAAATCTTTGAAATATAGAAATTACGAGAATTAAGGTAGCAGAATGGCGGTCAATATTCACTCTATTAGTGAGCCCTTTTGGGTCCAGATGAGCATATAAATGAAAAGAATGAAAGGAGGAAAGTGCCATTTATTTCTCTATTTTTATAATACTATTTATGGCCCTTTTTAACCGTATCTTTTCTACCACGAGTTACAAAAAAGATAAACAAAAGGCTTAGGAATTTTATATTTATTATCTGGAATCATTTTTGGAATCTCCGGAACATTATTATCAGCCCTTATCAGAATTTACTTTCATATCTTTCCCTAATCCTTTCTGAAATCTCAGAGTTTGGTAGTGCAGGATGAACATATTTCCACCATTAACCACTTCTTTTATGACGTTGCCCATACTTCAGAACCCTTGAAGGAAGTTACGGGACCAGCCTTCGGGGAACCCAAAAGCCTAAACCCTAAACCCTAAACCCTGCAATTTCCCGCAGAATTAGGGCCCATCCACATCCTGGAATCTTCCACCCTGTGAGCTCAGACTTCAGGGTTTAGGGTTTAGGGTCTAGGGTTTAGGGTCTAGGGTTTAAGGTTTAGGGTTCAGGGTTTAGGGCTTCAGGATTTAGGGTGTCGGGGTGTTAGGGTTTAGAGTTTCAGGTTCGGTTTTAGGGTTTTACGATTTAGGGTTTATCAGGTTTAACCTTTTAAACCCAACCAGCGTATAGGGCTTAGGGTGTAGGGTTTTTGGATTTAAGGGGCTGGAGTCTCCGTGGCTGCACTTAGGAGGGTAGAAAAAAAACTTTTAGCTGCCTTATTAAGAAACCCAATAAACCCCAAAAGGCTAGTTAAGGATCAAAAGTCACAATAAAACACCACAAAGTCTCCACACTCCCCAGACTCTAAACCCTAAACCCTAAACCCTAAACCCTAAACCCTAAACCCTAAACCCTAAACCCAATGGCCCAACTTGTTTTTCGGGCCTTGGACATTGGAACCCCTTGCAGTCAGACAGAGGAGCCAACATGTGTGACATTGAAACCTCAGAGCCTTTACTGCAAACCTACGCCCAGGGTTTAGGGCTTAGGGTTGCAGGTCTAAATTCTAGATCCTAGACCCTAAACCCTAAGCCCTAAGCCCTCAGCCCTAAGCCCTAAGCCCTAAACCCTAGACCCTTTCAAGGCCTTCCCGGCCGCAGCCGCGCCAAAGCGCGCATGGCCACAGGCTGGCGGCCTGTCTGAGTGGTCAGGGACATCATGGTGTGGGGCTTAGGGTTTAGGGTTTAGGGTTACTTTGGGGGGTTCAGGGAGAACACCTCAAAACTAGGATGGTTTCTGGCGGCCCCGGAAAGAATGTCCCTGGGTTGTAGAGAGCTACATGGGGGCTAAGGCCCCGAGAACTTTTCAACCTATTCCAAATCAAACGCTGAGTCCTTTGGGTTGTGGATTGAAGATGACGTCGTGTAGTGTTTTAAGTTTACCCTAAGGGTCCATGTACCTGATTATTATATACTTGGGCCTTAAAGTACTTCCTATATAGGGACTTGGGGGCCCAAGTATATAATGATGAGGTACATGGACCCTTAGGGTTAGAATTTCACGACACTCAATTCCACCGGGGGCTAAAGGCGCTCCACCTCCTACCTTAGGCTGCCCAGTAACCTAGGCTTAAAAAGGGTGCCCTTTTTTGCTTAAAGGGGTTTATAAGGCAACCTAAACCCCCAAAAAGGGATTAAGGGTACTACTGGGCATCCTAGCAGTGATGCTGACTGCTCTATGAAGAGGTTCCGTGTTGCTGTAGGGTTCGGAAAGACGTCCTCAACCCACTGTCCAATGTACTGCATCACCACAAATTGCTTAAGAACCCCCCCCCCCCCAAAAAAAAAAAAAAAAAAAACATGTTCTTCCTTATAAGCTTCAAGGGTATGATTTCCCAAGGCTCCTACTTACAGGAACTCTCCGGAGCCCACTGGCATCGCCTCTTCGGCAAAGGCCCAGGGAAAGAGTTGTGTTTCTCACTGACAGAGCCAAAATGTGCCATGGAAGCCTGTGGCCAATCTGCTTAGACGCGGTTTAGGGTTGAGGGTTCAGGGTTCAGGGTTCATTAGGGTTTAGGGTTTAGGGTTTAGGGTTTAGGGTTTAGGGTTCAGGGTTTAGCGTTTAGGGTTTGGTGTTGAGGGCTTCGGTCAACAGGACGCGTATGACGACCACCGCAATCGTAAGCTCAGGTCCTGGTTCGAGTTGGATAAGGAGGACCAAGAGGTGCTCCCCTGATATACCCAAAAAGTCACAAGACAGGGTTTAGGGTTTAGGGTTTAATGTTTAGGGTTTAGGGTTTAGGGTTAGGGTTTAGGGTTTAGGGCTACTAGACCCAGGAGTAACCTAGGAATAACAATGGTGCACTTTTGGTTTAAAGGGGGTTGTAAGGGAACCCAAACCCTAACAAAAAAGGAATAAGAGCCTACTCTCTGTCCTAGTAGAGAGCTATTCTGCAAGCTACCCAAAAGGTACCCTGAAGGTTTTTGAATCCCTCCCTTTGAGAACATCCAATCAAACTCGAGGTGTTTGTTCGAAACCAAGACAGAACCAAGTCCTATGCATGTCGATGACATGAGAAATCATGAAGCTGATGCAAAAACCCTGCAAAAACATTCCTACAAGGAGGCCCCCCCCCTAGTTATAAGATGAGTTATAAGGGCCCTAGATTGGGTTGTCTGGCTCCTAACTAGGTTATATATAAGTTAGTATAGTAAGGGGGCCCTCCCTGTATTCAAAGGATACCCCAAACCTTAAACCGGACTGACTGCTCTCGGACCCCTTGCAACAAACAAGGTTCATAAAAATAAGTAGAAAGGATGGTACTAAACCCTACACCCAAAATTTAAAAAACCTAAACCCTAAACCCTAAACCCTAAACCCTACACCCGTAGCCCTGGCGAGGCTCAACGCTGGTCCTCACGCTTCGGTCATCTCCCGCTGTCAGGATCTGTTTCGGGTTTAGGGCTTAGGGCTAAGGGTTTAGGGTTTAGGGTTTAGGGTTTCGGGTTTAGGGCTTCTGAAAATGACAACTGCGTGGTGCTTTAAACCCTTTGAAACTATTTATGAATAGCTTCCTTTAAACCCTTTGAAACTATGTATGAATAGGTTCCTTTACAAGGAAGGAAGGGAAATCGAAAATCATCGCCACAACTCAATAACAACAATGACGACGACCAGTAATGGTAACAGCAAACCCTTGACGGAATACTCACGAGAAGAGCAAGACCCTAAACCCTAAACCCAAAACCCTAACCCCAAAACCCTAAACCCTAAACCCTAAGGGATTCGAGGCTCAGGGGCTTGCGAAGGGACCTTTTAGGGTTGCGCACCTTGCAAGGGCATTCTTAACAAACTTTCGCTAGAGGCTCAAGGTCGAGGGCTTGGCAGTTTAGGGTTTAGGGTTTAGGGTTTAGGGTTTAGGGTTTAGGGTTTAGGGTTTAGGGTTTAGGGCATCTATAGCACTGAAGGTCCATGTACCTCTCAAGATTGTGTACTTGGGCCCTAAAGTCATTGCACGAAAAGTATGTTAAAACCCCAAGTACTCCTTGTCTTAGCTGTCTTGTGCTTCGGTAGCTGAGTAGATTCGAATTGCACGTGCTAGCCTGACTAGTCCTTAGTAAGAAATGAGCTAGATATCTCAAATGGATGCCCCCCCCAAAAAACCCCTTAAAGGGGTTGTATAGGGCTACATGCCCCTAAAAAAGGGGTTAGATAGGCCTACATCCCCCTTTAGGGGGGTCTTATAGGCCTACGTACGCCTTAAAGGGTTCTACAGGGCTATATACCCCTTGAAGGAGTTCTACGGCCTGAAAGTGGTTTATTGGGCACCCTGTGCTCTAGTTCACACTTACTTCCTACGGAATCACACGTGGAGTCGCGCCCAAGAGCTTGAGCCTTCAGCAAACCTGGCCTCCCGATCCTAAACCCCAAACCCTAAACCCTAAACCTCAAAACCTCAAAGCCTTTATAAACCCTACACCCAAAAACCTATTATTCAGAAAAAGTCTTAAACAAAAAACAAATCCCTAAGGATCCCAGATTGCAAGCCCGAGAGCCTCCCAAGAAGAAGACGAGGGCATGGGGGTTTAGGGTTTAGGGTTTTCGGGGTTTGGGGTTTAGGGCTAGGGTTTAGGGTTTAGGGTTTATAAGGGATAAGGGTTTCGGGTTTCGGGTTTAGGGTTTAGGGCTTAAACGAAATATGAAACATCCCCGGATTGCTGCAGTTTAGGGATTAGGGTTTAGGGTTTAGGGTTTGGGGTTCGACTAGATCGGGTTTGGGGTCTCGTAGTTTAGCCTTTAGAGCTTAGACCCTAAACCCTAAACCCTAAACCCTAAACCCTAGGGCACCAACTCAGGTTGTCCAGCCGAACCTGTGAAGCGTCCGCGGAAAGAGCCACGGTGTGCACCTTACCAAATCGGGCGTGCCATTCCCAGACGCAACCAACAAGGTTTAGGGTTTCGGGTTTAGGGTTTAGGGCACTAGACCCAGGAGTACCCCTAGGAATCAAAAGGTACCAATTTCGGGGTTTAAGGGGATTAGGGCCTCCTCCGGGTCTCCGGGTCCTAGGTTTGTTTAGGGTTTACAAGTTACGTAGGGCTTAGGGTTTATGGTCGAGGGGTTTAGGCGAAGGGAGGTCTGTGACTTTAGTTCATCCCCGTGCAGGGAGATTAGATATCATCATGTTGCAAAAGTGTAAGCCGTACCCTAAACCCTAAACCCTAAACCCTAAACCCTAAATCCCTACCTGCGAAAAGGGAATCAGCGCCGGCATCTTTTTGTCCGGCTCTGGCGCGGGCACGCGATGCGCCGCCATCTGAACAAGGGCAAACTCTGAAGCTCAAACTCGAGGACTCAAGACATTGGTTTAGGGTTTGGGCCCTAAACACCAGTAGGGCTTTAGGGTTCAGGCCTTGGGCTCTACATCCCTAAACCCTAAACCCAAAGCCCTGACGTAAGGGGCAGATGGGGTATCACCCTGAGAAACCCTCAACCTCACACTCTGACTGCGGGCGACGACCCTACAGGCCCAGAGCATCACTAAGGCGCTTTGTAGAGTTTAGGGTTGAGGGTTTTGGGGCTTGGGTTTAAGGGTTTAGGGTTTACAGTTTATGGGTTTAGGGTTGAGGGTTAACCTGAGCCCCTAAACCCAAAAAGCCCGAACTCCAATCTATGCATGAGCCTTAGATCACAATCATAAGCCGAAAAAACCCTAAACCTAAGCCCCAAACTATACGTCACCACCCGCACAGACACTCAAAAGATGGAGTTGTCCCAAACACGCATACCCTAACCCCTGAAACCCTGAAACCCTGAAACCCTGAAACCCTGAAACCCCAAACCCTAAACCCTAAAGCCTAGCCCTAAACCCTAAACCCTAAACCCTAAACCCTAAACCCTAAACCCTAATCCCTAAACCCTAATCCCCACAGTTTAGGGTCTAGGAATCGGGCGTCCAGGGATTTAGGGTGTAGGGGACTTGGCGAACGCGACGCTCCCGGGAGCTAAAAGCTGCCCAGGGAATCCCCACTGACGCAATTCAGGGTTTAGGGGTTTAGGGTTTAGGATTTAGGGTTTAGGATCCCTAACACCTACAAAGTCTAGAAACCCTGTAAACAATATAACCCCTCAATAAACCCTACAAAACCCTTTAAACCCACATGAGCCATTTCTGCTGACGGTCTCCTTGCTGGGGGCATCTGTGAGAGAGCACACCGCCTCCTCCTGCTGCTGCTGCTGGCTGTCCTGCAGATTTCAAGCTCTCATTTCCTGAGTTCATAGGCCCCCAAAAGTGCACACTTTCAGTTCTAAAGGGGGTTATAGTAAGCCACCAAAAAGTGTACACTTTCAGTTCTAAAGGTGGCTAGAGTAAGCCCCCAAAAGTGTACACTTTCAGCTCTCTAGGGGATGGTAGTATCCCAAAAAGTGTCAAGTGTACTCACTCAGCTACTAAGAGCTTCTCACGGCTGTGCCAGGACGTCTCGGCTCTTGTTTCAAGCCGAGGTTGAGAGTCCAAAGTTTTCGGGGTTCTAAACCCTAAACCCTAAACCCTAAACCCTTCGTCCTAAACCCTAAATCCTAAACCCTAAACCCTAAACCCGAAACCCTAAACCCTAAACCCTAAACCCTAACCCTAAACCCTAAACCCGAAACCCTCGGGTTTTCCTTCTCGGGATGTTCTTCGGGGATCAAGGCGTCAGAGACAGCATTTTCGCTGGCTTCCGGCTAACTCAGTAAGGGAACCCATAGCGCGAAAAAGGGTTTGGGGTTGAGGGTTTAGGGTTTAGGGCTGCCTTAAGGGCTTGCAGGTAAGGTTCGGAATGTAGAGACGAGGTACCCTAAACCCGAAACCCTAAATCCTAAACCCTAAACCCTAAGTTGGGCAACGCCTCTTTTCGGAAACCTGTGGTGCGGCATCCCAGACTCGGCTAATTACAAGATGCCCAGCTCCACACACGCAGCGTAGGCAGCAGATTGCCTGGCCTTCATGACTTTGGCCTGGACGTCTCCGCGAAAGACTCTTCCTTCCACTTCCACCTCGTACCTGAAAGTCTTGTCACTTCGTAGAAGCTCCCTGTAATCTGCAATTCTTGCTTGTTCCACATGCGGTCGGCGGCTTTGCTGCAAGTGCAGGTTCAATTTCGAAATGTAATCCGCTCTTGCATCAAAGCCTGAGGCAGCCTGGGCCAGCCTTTGGATCTTCAAAGGCCGCGAACTTAGTAACTCGATGACCTCATGTCGGACAGCCTCAATTGTGGTCAGGTCAGTTGCCCATGCATTCGTTTGAGGGCACTGCATCAGCTTTGCATCCATTTCGGGCGTCCAGTCGATTCTTGCAACGCGGACGTGCTCAAGGGCGCACAAAGGAGCGATGACTTTGAACATAAAGCACCGCCGATTGTCGGCAGACAACCACACCTGCCTTTGTGGAGAGTCTGGAAAGGGAGATCGCCTTCCTAGCTTCTCCACAGCACTCGCTGCAACCGACATCAAAGGCAGCTTTGAGATGTGCTCCGGCGTTTGCACCATCTGAAGCATCGTCTGCAGGACATCCTCCCCGCGGCTGAAGGTCTTCTGCACCGTCGCCTGAGTCGGGAACAAAAGGTCCTTAGCTGCACGTGGAACTTTGCAGACCAGACGAATCCTTGCTTCTGAGGAGTCATATTTGTGAACAGAGGCAGGAGGTGCAGGTCGAGAGTGCAAAAACCAAAACACCGGCACTTCCGCACTTCCTTCCACGAAAGCTCACGAACACCTACCAAACAAGGGTTTAGGGTTTAGGGTTTAGGGTTTAGGGTTTAGGGTTTAGGGTTTAGGCTTTAGGGTTTAGGGTTCAGCGGCCTCCACGCTCGAAACGCCTCCAAGCGTCGACATCCACCTCTAGCTCCTCGAGGATCACGCGCGAAGCCTCCTTGGGGACCCACATGCGTTCAGGGTTTAGGGTCTAGGGTTTAGGGTTAAGGGAAATTATGGTCCCTTTTGGGGTCCATGTACCTCATTACTTATATACTTGGGCCCCAAAGTCCCTATATAGGAAGTGCTTGAAGGCCAAGAATATAACAATCAGGTACATGGACCCTTAGGGATCATAAGACCGGGATCACAAAAACACTATACTACACTAATATCCCTATTAGCGTCCATAAACCCTAAACCCTAAACCCTAAACCCTAAACCCTAAACCCTAAACCCTGAACCCTGAACCCTAAACCCTAAACCCTAAACCCTAAACAACCCTAAACCCTTTACGGGTTCCTTTGCTCCCCAAATCTCCTCGGGCTCCCGGTCCCGGCTGCCGTCCCTGGGGTCAAAAGCCAGGATGGGCTCAAGGGCTCCTGGCTTGGGTTTAGGGTTTAGGGTTTAGGGTTTAGGGTTTAGGGTTTAGGGTTTAGGGTTTAGGGTTTAGGGTTTAGGGTTTAGGGTTTAGGGTTTAGGGTTTAGGGTTAGGTTTAGGGTTTAGGGTTTAGGGTTTAGGGTTTAGGGTTTAGGGTTTAGGGTTTAGGGTTTAGGGTTTAGGGTTTAGGGTTTAGGGTTTAGGGTTTAGGGTTTAGGGTTTAGGGTTCAGGGTTTAGGGTTTAGGCTTTAGGGTTTAGGGTTTATTGTTTAGGGTTTAGGGTGTAGGGCTCCTGGCCCTTCTTGGTTCCAGCAATTCCGGGCGACCTCCGAGGGACCCGTGCACCTCCTTGGCTGGCCTTAAGGCCTTAAGGGCACCACATTGAGGGCACCGCAAGGTTCCATGGGTTTAGGGTTTAGGGTTTAGGGTTTAGGGTTTAGGGTTTAGGGGTGCCTAAATAGGGAAGACTTGAGTTCATGGAAACGGGGCATGATATGGGTGCCCCTCAGGGGAGACTCCCATATCATAGCAGGTGCACTGCAGTGTTCTGGAGGATCCAAGTCTCAGCTGCTGCTGCATCTCGGACTCACGGGCTTCCACACTGGAAACACGTGCCTCCTCTTCGGCATCGCAGCACATGATGACAAAGCGGCTGTCATGATACCTGGCACGTCCGCGTGCCTGTATGAAGGAGATCACCGTGTGAGGCGGCTCCATTCGCACCACCAGGTTGCAACAAGGGATGTCAATGCCCTCCTCTGCCACGGATGTTGCCACCATGACATTGAAATGTCCCTGCCTGAAGTCAGCCAAGATCCTTACTTCTCCAATAACCAAGGGGAAAAAGGTTAAACTTAAATATTTCTACCAAATAAGGACTAAGGTTAAACAAAGTTCACCTCAAGGCGAAGTAAGGATCTTGCTCTGCTGTGCGATGGTCATTGTTCCCTCTTCGTCATCTCTCCTGGCATGTCCCACGAGGCATGTAGGAAGTAACCATCCCAACTCACCTTGGCTGGCGGCCACAGCTTCGAGAGCCCTGACCATGTCTCTCGCAGTTTTGCGCGTCTCCACGAAGACGATGCACCGAAACTCGGCCGCATCATGCTGGCGTAGCACGGACAGCAGGGACCTGAAACAAGGTGAGAGTCCTTGGCTGGAGCACCTTCCCAGGTCTTCCCAGCTAGACTTCAGCCTCTCTGGCACCTTGGCTGCACTTAGGAAAATAGTTTTAAAACTCTTTTAGCTGCCTTATGAAGAAACCCAGTAATTAAACCCAAAAAGGCTAAGGATCCAAAGCTACCATAAAGCACCCACAAAGGCACTTCGGGGATCTGGATGTCCCTCAGCACTGGCTCCCTGCCCCAGCCCAGACTTCTCACGCGCGCGGACAGCTCGTCAACTTGCTTCATCCTCGGGGAGCAAATGAACCGGGTTTAGGGTTTAGGGGTTTATTAGGGTTTAGGGTTTAGGGTTTAGGGTTTAGGGTTTAGGGTTTAGGGTTTAGGGTTTAGGGTTTACGGTTTAGGGTATGCCCTAGACTACTGTAACTCCTGTTAAGGTGATATGAACCCTAAACCCTTCTAGGGCTACGAAATTCCTATTAAGGTGATATGAACCCTAAAATTGGGGGGTCATATTGATATATCCTATACGATATGCACCATAAACCCTTTTAGGACTACTACAATTCCTTCTAAGGTATGTGAACCATAACCCTATACTACTAAAAACCCTATTAAGGTGATATGGGCCCTAAACCCTTTTGGGGTCCATTTCGTCCCCAAGGATCTGGCTCGTCACTTCCAGGAACATCTCATCCTCTGGAGGCCTCTGACGCGACCAGCGCAGGTGGCCAGAACCAGGGCCAACAGCAAAAAACATCGACGGGGGGAAACAAAAAAAAAACAGGAAGCAAGCCCCTACCACCCTAGACCCTAGACCCTAGACCCTAAACCCTAAACCCTAAACCTAAACCCTAAACCCCGAACCCTAAACCCTAAACCCTCTTCAAAATCGGGGAGCAGCGCCGACTGCACCGTCTGTAGCTCCCTGTGACAGCACCTGGCTGCCTCCATGAAAGCCAGAAACTCCGGGCTTGCCGCCACCTTGGTGACCACAAGGGTTTAGGGGTTTAGGGGTTTAGGGGTTTAGGGGTTTAGGGGTTTAGGGGTTTAGGGGTTTAGGGGTTTAGGGTTTAGGAACCTGATACTCCCCACTCAGCTACCCTAAACCCTAAACCCTAAACCCTAAAAAACCCTAACCCTAAACCCTAAACCCTAAACCCTAAACCCTAAGTTCATTTTGGTCCCCATGGCCACCGACTCCTTGATCAGCCGGGCGGAGGGCGCCGCCTCACGGAGCTCTCCCAGGAGTTCGGCCGGGACTTGCACCAGTTGGGCTTCCTTAGGGTTTAGGGTTTAGGGTTTAGGGTTTAGGATTTAGGGTTTAGGGTTTCGGGTTTAGGGTTTAGGGTTTAGGGTTTAGGGTTTAGGGTGACCCTGAAAAGGGTTTAGTGCTCATATACCCGAATAGGGATGATGGCAGTGTAGCAGCATATGATCCCAACTTTTCGGCGTCGCATATACCCTGATAAGGGTTTAGGGTTCATATACCTGAACTAGGATGATGGTAGTCACCCTGAAGCCTAAACCCTAAACCCAAAACCCAAAACCCAAAACCCTAAACCCAAAACCAGTATCGGGGCATCTGATCCCGACTGTTGGGTTGATTTCGTCCCCAAGGTTCCAGCCGCTGTAGCAAGCGCTCGGTCTGCTCCGGGCTCTCCTACATGGCGGTGCTCGTTTCGCATTGCGAGCGTGACAGCTTCAGGGCTTAAGTGGGTTTAGGGTTTAGGGTTCAGGGTTTAGGGTATAGGGTGCTTTCACATACGCCTAAACCCTAAACCCCAAACCCCAAACCCCAAACCCCAAACCCCAAACCCCAAACCCTAAACCCTAAACCCTAAACCCTAAACGTTTTGAGTTGCTGGTGGCAGGAGGACAGTGCTAGAGAGAAGGGAAGCCAAGAGCTATTGCAGTACTCCTTGTAGGCGCTGCTTAACACTTTTTAGGGTTTAGGGTTTAGGGTTTAGGGTTGAGGACGCTAGATCACAGATTTTTAGCACGGGTGATGAGCATCTGACGGGAGATTCCGATGTTGGGCAGCAGAGCATCCATAGAGAAACCTATCCGAGAACACGGCTACATGCACATGGAACCTGTAATTCTGCATGTAGATCCTGTGGCTACTGTTTCGGCAAGTCCCGGCGTCTCCATCACCCACCCCAACACCCGGAATAATGTGAGCTAGCATCTGGCGCCAGGGGCGTCAAGAACACAATTTGCTGACAACCTCCCGCTACCACCATCGCCCAATCACCGTGCAACCCTCAAGCACTTAAACCCGCCAGACCCTACCTAAAACCTAAACCCTAAACCCTGCACTCCCAAACGCCCCCCCTGCTTCCAAAACAAGAGCCGGCACCTAAGCCCTATAAACCCTAAGCCGACCAGAGAGAGAGAGAGAGAGAGAAACAGAGAGAAAGAGAGAGAGAGAGAGAGAGAAAGAGAGAGTAAGAGAGATAGAGAGAGAGAGAGAGAGAGGGAAAGAGAGAGAGAGAGAGAGAGATAAAGAGAGAGAGAGAGAGAGGGAAAGACAGAGAGAGAGAAGGAAGAGAGAGAGGGAGAGAGAGAGAGAGAGAGAGAGAGAAAGAGAAAGACGAGAGAGACAGAGCCCTGAACCCCCCCCCCCCCCCCCCTCCCCTCCCCCCCCTCCCCCCTCCCCTCCCCCCCCTCCCCCCCCTCCCCCCTGACTCTCGGGCCGGGCGTCTGCAGGGGAAGCCGACAGGCCCAGAAGCTTGGGCCTCTGCTGCGGTGGTGCCTTGGCTGCTGGCTGAGGAAAGGAGGGGTTTAGGGTTTAGGGGTTTAGGGGTTAAGGGTTAAGGGTTTTTAGGGGGGGGGGGGGGGGGGGGGGGGAGGCTCTGCTTTGGGGCTGAGGGGCAGGGCCTTAAAGGGGCTGTTGCTGTGGGCTTGGATGGGCTTTCAAGATGGGGTCCGTTGGGACTCTTATAGCTTTGGTGTCTACAGAATTGCTGGCGAGGGTTGGGCGGGGGAGTTGGGGTTTAGGGTTTAGGGTTTAGGGTTTAGGGTTTAGGGTTTATTGTTTGGGGTTTAGGTCCTGCGCCTCGCTGTAGGCAGTTGCAATCTTGGAGTAGTCATGGCCGCCATGCCTTTTCTTGGCGGTCGAGTGGTGGACCTCCTCGGCTGTACCAACGTTACTGGCTGAAAGCGAACCACCTGAAAATCCCGAAGCTTGTTTAGGGTTTAGGGTTCAGGGCTTAGGTTTTAGGGTTTAGGGTTTAGGGTTTAGGTTTTAGTGTTTAGGGTTTAGGGTTTGGGGAAGGTTCTGCTCAGTTGCGAGACATGAGTGAAATGCGAACAATCATCGAGGCCGGCACCAAAAACAACCTACGATTTGCAACTTTTAATACATCCCTGAGCCCAGAAGCCCCTTGGGAAACCTTGGGGGCCAAATGAACCCTAAAAGGGTTGATGGTTCAATATGCCCTAATAGGCATTGTGGTAGCATATATGGGCAGCAGAGGAAGTTATGTTCCGAATTCTCGTGCTCAGTAGGGTTTAGGGTTTAGGGTTTAGGGCTTAGGGTTTAGGGTTGGAAACTGCCAGGGCAAGCATCATCCATCACCACCAGTGACATGCTTTTCATGGCCTCCGGGCTGCAGAGCTGGTTGAGAACCGAGCCAGGAGTAGCCTAGGCTTAGGGTTTAGGGTTTAGGGTTTAGGGTTTAGGGTTTAGGGTTTAGGGTTTAGGGTTTAGGGTTTAGGGTTTAGGGTTTAGGGTTTTAGGGTTTTAGGGTTTAGGGTTTTAGGGTTTAGGTTCAGGGTTTAGGGTTAGGGTTTAGGGTCTCGGGAAAAACTATTCGACATGTGATCCAAAAAAACATATCCCAATAGCCTACCTAGTTGCGAAGACCACATGGCAGCGTCCGAGGTTTGTCTTGCTGCCGCCTGCAAGGACACCCGTCTGCCAAGGAAGCCGCTTGGCCTCGATCTCCCTCTGAAATTCCATGTGCTGCTGCTTGGCCAGCGGCACTGTGGGCGCAAGGAAGTAGACCAGCTTCCCCCGGTGACGTCGAAGCGCCTCAAGCATCAGATGAAACGCGACGCGCGTCTTGCCAGCGCCCGTTCGGAGAACCTTGGGGACGAAATGAACCCTAAAAAGGGTTTAGGGTTCATATACCTTAATAGGAATCACAGTAGTATAGGGTATATGACCTCAATTTTAGGGCTCATCTGGTCCCCAAGGAACAACGACATGGTTTCCTGGCCGCTGAACCTCCATGGCCAGGGCTTCCTGGTAGCTGCGGAGCCCGAACATGGCTTCTCCACCACACCCGGAGCCTCTTGCTCCAGCAACTTGCGCCCCTTTGAGCCGCAAATCCGCAAGAATACCTTCAAGCACAAGGCTGTACGAGGTCTTCCTGAGGGTGGAGTACGCATGTCCATTTTTCAGGAACATCCTGGAGCAACTCGTCTCTTAAGGCACCATGAAAATCGCACAGGCCACTTTGCTAACTCCTCTCATGAAGGTTTGCTAGCATCAGACCGTGAGCATCAACCTCCCATAAAACGAGTCCCTACAACCATGCTACGGTCTCGGCGGCAGAGTCCTTTGGAAAAGATGGGAAACTATTGGTGCGGGCGCAGCCTCTATCGTCGAAGGATGAAGGAATGGAATCACGAGGCTGCCCAGTCCACAAATGAACGTAACGCAGCTGAACCAGCTGCTGATGCACACGAAATGTGCTTCCCTCGGACACAAGACTGTCCTTTTCACTGTCGCATCGCTCGGTCGATGCTTGTCAGCCATGGAATCGGCAAAAGGAATTCCTGAGGGCATTGAGAGAAAACATCGCGGCACACCTTCACTTGTGCCAAGTATGAACTATACAGAATAGCCCATGCAGGACAACTCACATGATACACTTCTCGTGGCTTGCATGTTTCAGCCACCTGAGTCACAGCACTGACACACCCAAAGACCTTTGGCCGAAATGGGATATTATGTCATCTTGCTGCGTTTTGCAGAAACAAAATGTGGGTCGAACACCAACGTCCATGCATGTTGATGCATTGCCCGATGCAAAGCAGAGCTCACTTTATGCTTCGTAAGAGAGTCTGCTAACTGAGCATCACTATTGACCCATCTGGTGGTCGTTGCGCCAGAACGAAGACGCTGAAGAACCGAAAGCACTTCAAGAGCACCGTACTTATCACGTAGCCCGAGTCCGGCTCCATTGAGGTCGCCCTTGCGGATGACATCGTAGAGTGACTTTGCATCCGTCACCATGATGCCCGGCACTTTGCTGTATGCCTCTTCAGGACGTTGAATGTCTACCGTGTTTCCACACAGCTCAGACCAGCATAGTCTCACAAACATGAGCTCTTCTTCGCCCTCAGAGAAAGCTTGAATTTCCGCGGCCAATGATGACCTTGCTATCCTGGAGAGTTTGGATGAGCGCCATGATATCAGAGAGAGTGGCGCGGTCTCGCCGCTGGCCATATCTGGTGATGTAGCTGCTATGACATAGCCTCCTGTGCTTGAGAGATCCGCCCTATTTGCTAAAGAAGCGTCTGCCCAGCATATGAACTGGACATCACAAGGAGCAACACCGGGAAGATAGTTGATGCGAACGGAGAGATTCCGCATGCCATGGATTTCTCTACAGAGCTTGTTGGCTTCTCTGAGTGTCGCTACAGTGGCTTTGCCTACTTGGGATAAAAGCAGACCAACTTTAGCTTGATGTTGAGGACCCGTATTGTACGCACGCCATTGAGCTGCGCCAAGTAAAGCACGAAGTTGCCCGACTTCTTGCGGAGTCGCTGCATCCGACTCTTTTCTGTCTTTATCAACCGGAATTTGCTGAAGCCCCTCACAGTACTTGCTATGGTCCAAAACCTTTGAGCCATCACGAAGTTCTTTGATGACAACTCCACAATGTGTGTATGAGGTGTGCTCCCACGGACTCCAACGAAAATGGGCATGAAAAGACTTTAAAGCTTCGACCCAGGTGCTGTTGCTGTCCGACCCCATTACGAGGAAGTCGTCAACGTGTGATGATATAATTCCAATGGTCTCATAGCATTGTTTTGTCTCATTCCATTCTCGTAGACGCCAGCAGCAAGGATCGCAAAGAAGAGGTTCGAACCCTAAGGATTTCAACGTGTTGTCGACCGCGCGATAAAACTCGGCTGGAGCGTTTACCAGTCCGTACGCTGCCTTGCGTACTTGGACTGCTCGTCCTTCAGGAATGCCTAAGGCCCTGGCCAGTTCCGGAACGGGCATGGCGTATATCTTTCTTTCAACCTGAGATGCTGGCCCTTGTAAAAACGCAGCTTTAATGTCACCTTTCATAGTTTGCCAACCTCGCTGCGCTGCATATTGAAGCACCAATTGTCGTGTCCTTCGCGACATGGTAGGCGATGATGATACCAGCTTATCTAGATCTGGATCTTGAAATCCTAAGATCACAATCCTAGCTTTTGCTGCTCCAGACTCTTTGTAGCTGAGCACCCATCGCATCTGCATCACTCGCTCACGGGGAATGTGTCCTTCAATCGCTGCTGCAGCTTCAGCCTGCAACCATTGATCCACTTCAGCTTCCTTGGCTTTGTTGAAATCAGCCTTCTGATCATTTGACAGAGTCGTCCATCGTACCTCAGACTTTCGTAGGGCTTGAGCGATCCAAGCTGACGCATTCTTGGTAAACTTTCTCCAGTCCTGCTCGCTCTCGGGCATTTCCACGGAAAGTTCACACGCAGCCAGCTCGTTCTCTTGCAGATGGAACGCACACTCCTCTTCATCTTCGTCTAGCCACACCAGGTTCACTCTCTCCTCATCTTCCTTCTCTCGCCTTTCTTTCTGTCTCTTAAACTGTGGGTTCTGAAACAGAGGTCCGGAGGATCGTTTCGAAGAGGATGCTGTAGACGCTGGTTTGCTAAACACTTCATGTATGGGCTCTTTGGTATCGAGTAGTTGTTGTAGAGACATCTCTCCAACTTGCTCTTCACTCAGCTGCTCTTGTTTCATCCCAGATCGATTTCCATGCCCTTGCAGAGGACTTCTGGATCGCACATCTCTACTCCCGTGATTGCCTGACCCCAAAGATCTACCTCTTGACAAGGCACGTGTTCTAGACATAGACCTTCCACGGGGATCTCCGTCTCGTTCTCCAGCGGATCTTGCTCTCAGGCGTGTCCCGGGAGTTGGAATCGAGGATCCTGGGTTCATCAGGTCTTCAGGCAACACAAGGTCGTCATAGATGTCGTACTGTCCCTTCTGCAAGTGCTGAACCAGTTGATGAAAAGACCAACTCATGACGGGAGCCTCGGTTCCTTCGCTGATGATTTTCTCTGTTTGAGATGCATGTCTCAGCTGCCACCCTGCACATCTCTTGAGTCTGCCGTGCGATACAATCCAGATCACATGAGCTGGGCGACGTTCCAAACCCTGGGCCTCTGATCTTGTCTCAGTCGCAAGAACACGGCCAGGACCAAACCACCTGGATTGATGCTGCTTTGGGCGGATTTGATCGTGTGCCGGGTAGTCTGCTGGTGGTTTTACCCTGCGGTAGTATACGAGGTCCCCTGGGAGAAAGACTGCGTTCTTTCGGGTCTTTGAGTTCATGGCCTGGGATATTCTCCTGGCAGCTTGGGATTTTCGAAAGATGGTCTCCGCGCGCACCCTGGCCTGGAGGTTCTCCTGAAAGTTTGTGCCAGACGTGCCCTCAGAACAGTGAAGTGGAATGTTCTCATCTTCAGAAAACTGCCTTCTCCCTGCCGATATCTGTCTCCCAAACACCCATTGCAACGGTGTAAAACCTGAGACAAATTCATTCTCATTATGAGCTGCAGTACTTAGCACAAACGCTCGAAAGGGGTCCATCACAGTATTTTGCAGCAAAGTCAATGTGTTCTGCTTCAAGACTCCTACCATTCGTTCAACGATGCCAATCTGACCATGATCTTCTGCAGGGATAGGCTCAATTTCCACGTTGGCCGACGCGGCCCACTCTTCCAAGTCTCGACCACGAAAAGCACCTTCAGGGTCCAAACGTATTTTTCGGGGATATCCAAATTTCATGATCCACTCTCGCTCCACAGCAGATAGGACCTCGTCAGTCGTAGCATTCCGGCATGTATCTTTGTGTCTCCTGTGCATTTCAACGGCCACACAATACCCCGACGCTTCTTCAACGAGCAGAAGTATGTGGATAATTTCATCCCCAAACTTGAGGTCCAGGTGATCCATCTGCAAGGTCTCCCAGAGAATCTCGCTCCTATAGAGGCTGACGGGTAGATGTGACTGCTGCATTTTCATCTGGACACATTCATCACACACGAGGTGCTGTGCTATCTTCATGGTACGTTCATCAACACCTTTGGCCTTCAAGGTATTGCAAAGCGCTCGATTCGAAGGATGCCCACATCTCCGATGGAGTCGCATCACCTGGGCGTGCAGCAACCTATCACTCTTGTCCATCTTGTCAGGATCTTTGAGAGATTCATTCACCTCATCAAGTCCGAGATTCCACTCGTACATCATCTCTGCAGATGCATTCTCCTTGGCCCGGATCTCATCCGAGGTGATCATCTCATTTACGGCGCATCGCGCCGTGCCCATGGGAATTCGACCTGGACATCGCTTCAGATCACCATGCTCTAGACTGTGTTCATGCTGTCCACAACAACGACACTGCAGCATCTGACTCATACTTTGAGATGAAGTAGCCAGGCGCCATGCCACATTGGAACTGCGGCCTTCAGCGTCATGAAGCTCCTTGAAACAACACCCATCTACGAAGCACTCATGTAGACTCTGAGCATCACGGAGTTCACTCGCAAACTGCTTGTACCTGCTCCTCCTCCATGTGTTCGAGGCCTTGGGGATCTCAATCACGAAGTCCCTTCCTTCCAGATGCTGGAGCAGAGCAAGACGCACACAAAGATCTAGAGCATGTTTCCGACGTTTGCGAGCTTGACTCTCTTGCTTTGTTTCAGGCTTATTCTCAACGTGGTTCTCCTCAAAGGGCGGCGACATCCATATCCAGGAAGGGCGATGTTCCATCACCCAGGACACAATCTGATCATGATCCTTGGCACGAGTCACGTCGAAGCCTAAATTTGCTAGGAATGTGTGCTGGACTCCGCGCTGTTGAGACACGATAGAGATATTGCTGTCATGGCCACCCACTTCGAGGATCGAGAGAGATGGTCTGCCAGTCGGGTTCTCAACCTGAGGCAGACTGTCAACTGTTGCAGATACTTCTTCGGCATGACTGCTGAGCTCCTGATGCAGGAACTTCTTCTGCTCGCTGGTGAGCTTCTTGTTCTGAGCCCAGAAGGTCATCTCCTCGGGCGAGCACAAAGAAATCTGAGACTGGGGCGTCATTCTTGGCAGTGGAAAACCCAACTGTCGTAAGTCACCTCTCTGCTCTGAATTCAGCTGAGAGATACTCGACGAGGTATACGCCGCAATCACAAGTCTCTGGCCTGTCCACTTACATGTCGCATGCCACACTTTCGGGTCAAACACCTTGCATGCATGCAGTACGCTTGTTGCTCTGCCTCGAGATCTGCTTTGATCGGGCCGTACACGAATCTTCAGTTCATCACGAGGGCATTGTTCACCTGGGCCAAGCTCCGTCCAGAGTTCTCCCCCAGAATATGACCCCATCCCCGTGATCATGTTGAACGTGCCCTTTGCATTAAGGAGATCCCGATGCATACGACTGCCAGCATTGAGACCGACGGCTACTGTTGTCCATGTTGAGAATGCGATGCCCTGCACGTCCGCCTGGTACTTCAAGAAGGCATTGAGATATCTGGTAAAATGTGGGTATGCCTTGGCTTTGTCAGTGATTCCCTTGAAAGGCCCCTGACCATACAGTCCAAAAGCATCGTACGCTCCCCTCAGCACTTTCTGCTTGTTTTGCTGTTTGGAGGTGAAAAGGGACATCAACAAGCGCTCGCACGATGTGTAGGAAAAGTCCTTCTCACGAAGGAGGCGATGGGCCGAGGCATCCGCTTTCTGGTATAACATGTGTTCTGCACTCATGCATGCTTCTTCAGAAAAAGAGGATGGCTCAGCAAGTTCCTTCGAGACCTGGCTCACTTCTGCAGGTTCTCCGCAAACTCTTGGTCCTCTGCTGACTTCTCGTTCCGACGCGCAGCCTTCTTGCCCGGCGTCTCTGCCATCGAAGGTGCTCCCGCCGGCGGGACTTGAACATCGCTCCACGATGTCACCGAATCTGGGCTGTCCTCCTTCTTGTCTCTCACCTCGTCCTGCTTCTTGTCGATCGAGATCACCGGCCGTCCGACAGCTTTTGCTCGGGCTCCTCTCTCGGCTTGGATGGTCTTGAGCCGACGTTGCAAGGATGCTTCTGCACCCGCCAGGGCCACATCCTTGGAGTTCAAGTAACCCCTCATTTCCGGCTTCTTCACGTCCTCGCCCAGCGCCGTCACGGTGGTCATCACGTCCTGCGGAAGAGGCCCCGCCTGTCGGCAATGCCCGGTGGCCCCGAAGGACGGGGTGTAAGACAAGCGTATGCGACACGTTTCGCAGACGATCCACTCCGCTGAGGCATTCCTTCCGCTCAGACTTCCGCGCCCCATGGGCATTGCCTTGTGAGCACCCATGCACGGTGGTCCCTGAGCACGTGGGTCGCGTCCGTCCGCCAGCTGGGTTCTGGAGTAGTCGTACTTCAGGCGAGGATCCACTTTCTCCTTCTTCTCCTTGTTCTTCCCTTTGGCGGGCACCTTGGGGATCTGCTCTGAAGCTGCTGTTGAAGGAGTGGACGGCGCTGCCATGGGAACTGAGAGGTCGGACTCTTTCCAGGGCTCTGATGGTGGATCGAAGGGCCTGCACGTCTGCTGGCGAACACGAGCACTGGCTGGTCGACCTTTCCTGTGTAACTGCAGTGAAAGCATATGACACCGGAGCACAACGCATGTACTGGGGCACATGGGAACTGTGCACGCAAACGTGAGGCATGTATTGCGCTGACTGCGGAGTGTCGGTCTCTGCTGCAAGATTGACTGACGATGTTAGCCAGTCCTTTGTCAGGTCCAAAAGGAGATGCCCACTAGGAGAAACCTCAAGCTGTATGGCAAGCTGAGCATCAACGCCTTGAAACACCACCATGCTACGAGCAACGTCCAACAAGGCTCCTAGCTTGCGCAATGTTTTAATGCTGATCAAGATGGGCACATCCTGAGAGTCGAAGACATACATCCCGAGATACACCGTCTTGCCATTGAGGGTCTGGGGCACTTCAATGTAGGAAAGCGCATCTGCCACCTTGCCATCGCCGAACTTAAAGCGCCGTGTGTGCTGCGGATACACTTTCACCTTGGCAGTCTCTCCATTCTGGCCCTTCAACTCCATCAGCTGGTGGATTGCATGGATGGAGCCGATGGTTTCCGTGGCTCCGGTGTCGATAACCGCCTTGCCCTGGAAGGAATACGAGGTCGTTGCATAGACACAGTTGTGGTTCTCAGGCGCACTGGTCGCGGCATGAAGAACTTCTCCTTCGTCAGGCGGGGGAGCTTCTTGAACATCCATCTCCAGCACCATGAAGGCAGCATGGACAGCCTCAGTCAGGGCAGCGGTTCCACCTTGGCTCCTTTTCGGGCACGACCTGTAGTCATGGTCTCGTTGACCACAGATAAAGCACCCTGAGTAGCCCTTCTGCCCCACTGCTCCAGGTTTGAGGCCACCTTTCTGGAAGCCTTTGGCGCCAAACACAGAGGATGCCTGACTGCGAACTGGGGAGAAACCTCCCTTGCCAGCAGCGCTGCCGCTGAAACGTCCGCCTTTGCCCTTTCGAGGGCCACCCTTCCTGCCTCCAGATGGAAAGAAGCCTCTTCCCAGGAGCTTGTCTTTCATGATCTTTCGGCTTTCCTGGAAGGTGCGACGCTTAGCTTCAAACTGGCCATAGATCTCTGCCATCTCCTGTCCCAGGCTGGGATCTGCAAGCATTACCTCTTCGATGTCCATCCAAGGCTTGACGTCCGCGAAGGTCCACCATACACCATCGCTGTCCTGAGTCATCCATTCGTCATTCCACATTGTCCATTCCACATCATGTCCGGCCGGTGACGAAGTCCAGCAAGACGCCGTCTCATCATCGGGTTCAGGTACCTCTCCTGGTTCATGCCACCAAGCAATCTGGTCCTCGGAAAACTCATCTTCCAGGGAACATGTTACAAGCCCCCAATGTCCTTCATCTTCCACCCAGAAGGAACGTCTCGGAGCCTGTTTCCCCTTACCAGATCCCTTTCTTTCAAGTCCCAGGAGTTCTTCTTCCTGATCTCGCAGAGTGCGCTCAACACGGTCGAACGACAGGTCGCCTTGCACCGCGCTCTGTACCGCCAGCCTGGCCGATGGGCTCAAGCCTGCTTTCCTCAGAAGTATCCATCCAAGGATCTCCTCCGGCAGGATGTCCTCGTCATGCAAGAACTCCTCCCACTCGATGATGGACTCGTCGGAGGAGTCGTCACCATCCTGTGCAGACCACTTCCCGGCCTTCCATCGTTGCCAGTCACGATGGCTCCATCTGCTCTGATGCCCCCAACTTCGGCGGTCCCAGTCCCAATCATCGAGGCGGTGATGCTGAGGATGTTCTCCAGGATCGGCATCGTGAGCATCAGGTCGCGAATCTCTTCCGGCTCGTTGTTCATCTTCCGGAGGATCGCCGTCAGGGGAAGCACGAGGACCATCGGCAGCTGCACCTGCAGGGCTGTCTCCAGGGCTGAGCGTAGTGGCACTGTGCCTCAAGCTCGCAGATTCTCCACGAAGAGGCTCGGGTTCCTCCACCGAGCGTCGTCGAGCATTGCCCTCTACAGCTCCGCGTCGTGAAGGTGCGTCATCCAGCTGCCGCACATTGTCCCGGGTAAGAGCCAAGTTCTTGGCTCCCTTCTCCAGCTTCAGCTTGCCAAGAGAGCGTCTGAGCATGCGGTACTGCTCTCTCACTTGACTGGCCCATTGTGCCATTGGAGTCCCTGGAGACCGGCGTAGCTTCACAAACATGTCCTCGAGGCGGATGCCGAGGTCGTTGATCGGGCTCTTGAGGAGGCGCTCCTCTAAGAAGCGAAGCAAGTAGCGGGGCCCACTCTTCTTGCACAGCTGGCCATGGTCCACTTCCACAGCGACTTCCCAAGCCTTGCCTCGGAGTCGTGATGCCAGCTCGGCGCCCAGCAACTTCCGCTTCTTGCGCTCCGTTCTTTCATACGCAAGCTGCACTCTCCTGACATAATCCCTCCAGCCAGAGTATTCCCCTGACCACGTCACCTGGTCAAGACCTCGAGCTTCGGCATGGGCGGTGTTCTGCATCGAGGTTCTGGTCTGGATCACGGAGAGCGAAGCGCCACCAAGGTCCCTGGTCTCGGAGCCAACCCTCAGTCTGAGAGAAGGCTCCGCTACCAGTATTGGTGCGGGCGCAGCCTCTATCGTCGAAGGATGAAGGAATGGAATCACGAGGCTGCCCAGTCCACAAATGAACGTAACGCAGCTGAACCAGCTGCTGATGCACACGAAATGTGCTTCCCTCGGACACAAGACTGTCCTTTTCACTGTCGCATCGCTCGGTCGATGCTTGTCAGCCATGGAATCGGCAAAAGGAATTCCTGAGGGCATTGAGAGAAAACATCGCGGCACACCTTCACTTGTGCCAAGTATGAACTATACAGAATAGCCCATGCAGGACAACTCACATGATACACTTCTCGTGGCTTGCATGTTTCAGCCACCTGAGTCACAGCACTGACAGAAACCCAATTGGTCCGGGTTCTTTTATTGGAACAACCTAACCCTATGCAAACTCGCCAATGCCGCCTACCATGCACCCCCGCCAGAGCCACAGCAAAGATACCAGAGACATCGGAGGCTGGGCAGAACTGGGTTGGCCTTCAAATTTAAAAACTATTGAAAAGTGTGTATATATATACATACATACATACATACATATATATATATATATGTGTGTACATATATCTATGTATAGGGTTCCGTGTAAGCCCAAAAAAGCAACATGTAAATATCACAACAGCCAACCTACAGAAAAGCTATGTCCTGCGGGGTCCATCTCATCCTCCAGCTCGGAATCAAGGGATCAGCACCAGCACCTAACCCTAAACCCTAAACCCTAAATCCTCAACCCTAAACCCTAAACCTAAACCCTAAACCCTAACCCTAAACCCTAACCCCTAAACCCGCACGGACAAATGCCAAGAGCAAGCCTGGACCCGAGGGCAGGGTTTAGGGTGTAGGGTGTAGGGTTTAGGGTTTAGGGTTTAGGGTTTAGGGCTTAGGGTTGTCTAGGGTCAAGGGTCTTGGGTCTAGGGTTTAGGGTATCGGGCTTCAGAGGGTTTAGGATTTAAGGTTTGAGGTTTGCGGTTTAGGGTTTAGGCAATAGGGGTTCATAGGGCTTATAGGGTTTAAAGTTTAGGGTTTAGGCTTCGAGGGGTTTAGGGTATTTACAGGGTTTAAGGTTTAGGCATTTAGGGCTTATAGGGTTTAAGGGCCAGGGTTTTGGACTTAGGGGTTTAGGGCTTATAGGTTGTTATTATTTTTATTATTACTAGTGTTATTAGTATTATTATTTTTATTGTTATTATTATTATTCTTATTATATATATATATATATATTTATTTTATAGGGTTTGAGGCTTGCCTAGCTACTTCGATCTCCGGCTAGGGGAAACACACCCAATTTTTGGCCAGCACAAGCGACCGCTTAAATTCAAGGAAGGAAGGAAGGAACGAAAGAAGGAAGGAAGGAAGAAAGGCAGGAATGATGGGTTAAGTTTTAGGCTTTAGAGGCACCAGCGTAACCAGCGTTAGGGCTTAGAGGGTTTAACATTTCGGGTTTAGGCTTTACGGGCTAACAGGGTTTAAGGTTTAGGGTGTAGGCTTTAGAGGTTTAGCGCTTGTAGGGTTTAAGGTTTAGGATTTAGTCTTTAGGGGTTTAGGGCCTATCGGGTTTAGGGCTTAGGCTTAGGTTTATGGGGTTAAGGTTTAGAGTTTATAGTCTTTCAAGGCTTTATGGGGTTTGTTTAAGCCCTAAACCCTAAACCCTAAACTCTAAACCCTAAAACTCTAACCCTAAACCCTACCTAAGCCCTAAACCCTAAACCCCGCAGAAATCTTTCTAAACATCCCAGACCCATTGCTCGAGGTGAGGAGCCCCGGGCATGAAATGCTCAAGAAAGCCGGTGAGTCCCGTCGGTGTAGGGTTTAGGGTTTAGGGTTTAGGGTTTAGGGTTTAGGGTTTAGGGTTTAGGGTTTAGGGTTTAGGGTTTAGGGTCTAGGGCTTAGGGTTTAGGGTTTAGTTACATGGTCCCTCAATCTGGGCCCTGCAAAGGGCCTTACATACCCCCTTATATACCCTACACAACTCGAGGGCCCACACTTCAGAACCTTTTTTAAAGAGGGTAAGTAAGGGACCATGTAACCACCCTTAGATCCTCACTAACAGGCGTCCAGTATGCGCCTCTAAACCCCAAACCCCCAAAATCCTCACAAGCCCCAAAACACCCCAAGACTCTTAAACCCCTAAACTGAAAAAAACTCCGATTGGGTATACTTAAACCGTAGCCTAAACGCCAAAACCCCAGACCCGAAAAACCGAAAACTCCGACAGGGTATACTTAAAACCCTAAGCCCTAAACCCTAACCCCTGCTAAACCCTAAACCCTAAACCCTAAACACTAAACAGTAAACCATAAACCCTAAACCCTAAACGCTAAACCCTAAACCTATACCCTAAACCTATACCCTAAACCCCAAACCATAAACCCTAAACCCCAGACAACCCAACCCTAAACAGGGGCCATGGCCTGCCGCAGCCGGCCTGTTTTGGTTCAGGGTTTTGAGGGTTTAGGGTTTAGGATTTAGGGTTGAGGGTTGAGGGCTTAGGGTTTTGGAGTTTTTAGGGTTTGGGGGGCTTTAGGGTGTCGGGGTTTCGGGGTTTAGGGCTTAGAGTCTCCCATAGTTAAGGGAGGGGGGTTCAAGGCCACTACTCCCTAAGGCTCCCTAAGCTTCCCTAAGGTTCCCTAGCTACCTGCCCCCCATGAACCCCCTAAACCCTAAACCCTAAACCCTAAACCCTAAACCCTAGACCCTAAACCCTAAACCCTAAACCCTAAACCCTAAACCCTAAACTCGAGTATAGAGGGTGGTAGCAGGGAAACCCACGAACCCTAAACCCTAAACCCTAAACCCTAAACACCCCCTCCCTTAAGAACCCTTCCTGTCTAGGAGTGCTGACTGAAGCCTGCGAAACCCAAGGCTCAAGCCCTGGAGCTGAAACCGCACCCAGGATGCTCTCTGGAGCTTGCGCTTTAGGGTTTAGGGTTTAGGGTTTAGGGTTTAGGGTTTAGGGTTTAGGGTTTAGGGTTTAGGGTTTAGGGTTTAGGGTTTAGGGTTTAGGGTTGAGGGTTGAGGGTTGAGGGTTTAGGGTTTAGGGTTGAGGGTTGAGGGTTTAGGGTTTAGGGTTGAGGGTTTAGCGTTTAGGGTTTAGGGTTTAGGAGTTTAGCGTTTAGGGTTTAAGGATTAGGGTCCTGACCTTCCACATGCGGCCACCGGCGTGCTTCGTAGACAATGACTACCCCAAGTGGAAGAACTCAAAGGGTTTAGGGGGGTTGGGCTCAGGAGCTTAGGGCTTGGCTATGAGTTAAAATCTCAAACCAGAATCCCCAAAACCCTAAACCCTAAACCCTAAACCCTAGACCCTAAACCCTAAACCCTAAACCCTAAACCCTAAACCCTAAACTCAAAGCCAAACATGGCACACCATGACAACTAGGATGGCCCTTAAGCCCCGCCGAAAATATTCCTACATATGATCCTCTTAAACCCAACAATCATGGGTTGCCCTACTACCCCCCCCAAATTCCCCCTCTTAGGTAACCTTAGTTCGGCTTAATTCTCCCTAAAAAGCCTTAATTATGGAGAGGACCTAGGGGGGGGAGTATAGCCTACATGCCCCCTCTTAGGTAACCTTAGTTCGGCTTAATTCTCCCCAAAAAGCCTTAAGTATTGGGAGGACCTAGGGGGGGGAGTATAGAGAACGAGAGGGTTGACAGGTTGTGGCTGAAGGGGTGCAGGTTTTGTGGGTCTGGGGCTGAAGGATGAAAGGTTTAACAAAAAGGCATCTTTTGAACCCCCCACCTTTGAGTTTAGGGTTTAGGGTTTAGGGTTTAGGGTTTAGGGTTTAGGGTTTAGGGTTTAGGGTTTAGGGTTTAGGGTTTGGAGTTGATCCCTCCCTTGTCCTAAAGCCGATGCCTCAAGGGCGCAGTTGGTTTTGCAATCGGAGCCATGACAATCTCGGTGCCGCCCAAACACTGGCCCCCCGGCAGAAAATCAAACGGCGTGGGTTTAAGGTTTGGGGGTTTCGGGGTTTAGGGGTTTAGGGTTTAGGGTTGTAGCCTCACAAGTCATTGCTTGTGATGAGCCGCGCTTAAGATTCAGCTGCGGCTATCTGCAAACTGGGCGCCGAAGGGACTAAAGTGGAAGAGTGACTGTGAGGGCCCCCAAGAGCCCAAGCCCAATCAGCCTGTCGATTGGACTGACCCTACCCAAGAGAGGCATCAAGCCAACTGAATCCCATGAGATAATGAAGGCCGTAAAGGATTAGGCTGTATGGTTTCAGGTTTATAAGGTTACTAGTCCTCTGCGGTTCTGCTCATGCCGCTCTCAGGATGCTCGTACTGGTTCTTCGCAGGGAATCACGGACATCTAGGGACAAGAGGACTTTGCCCAAGTAAGTCTATACCGCTGCCTTATGACAATAACTAGATCCAATAGATTCTGAACAACTTACATAAAACTTTATACAAACACATATTTTTTGCGAATATTCGACAGACAGACTCGATTTCTTGCAAAGAACCAGTAGGTTCTAACCCCCGTGCTGCGACTCCCTAAACCCTAAACCCTAAACCCTAAACCCTAAACCCTAAACCCTAAACCCTAAACCCTAAACCCTAAACCCTAAACCCTAAACCCTAAACCCGGACTCGGCTTCAGAAGTCTTCGTTCAGTGAGAAGGCGCTTAGGGAGTCGGTGGCACCAGCCATCACACCCGCCTCAAGGTTCTTTAGGGTTTAGGGTTTAGGGCTTAGGGCTTAGGGTTTAGCGTTTAGGGTTTAGGGTTTGAGGGCTTTGGGTTTGTAGGGTTTGCAGGGCTAAGGTTGTACCTGGCGCTCCATTAAGCTACAATTTTGGGGGTGATGCCCCACATGTAGAGGTAGTGGTTGGAAGTCCCAGCTACGGTCGAGGGTTTAGGGTTATATATCGGGTCTAGGATTGTTGGGTTGTAGGGTTTAGGGTTGTAGGGTAAGAGGATGTAAGAGGGTTGTGGGGTTATAAGGTTTGGGGTCCAGAGTTTGGCGGCGCGGGGCTTGGGAAGATGTGTTTTGGGCTAAGATTCGATAAGAAACAATCTTCCTTTCCATGTATCCATATTCTGCCCTAAACCCTGAGCTATCATTGAAACATCGCCCCACCAAGCAGCAAAACCCTGTCCAAACGGGAAGAGCCTCAAGCCTCCAGATATGATAACCCTAAACCCTAAACCCTAAGACATAAACCCTAAACCCTAAACCACACCCGCATCCGGTCCTTCTGGTACTCGCCCACCCGCTTCTCGAAGAAGTTGGTCTTGCCTTGCGGTGGATACTGGTTTAGGGTTTAGGGTTTAGGGTTTCAGGGTTTGGGGCTAAGGGTTTGGGGCTTAGGGTTTGGGGTTTGGGTTTTAGGGTCTGGGGGTGTATTCAGGGTTTAGGGTTTGGGGTTTAGGGTTAAGGGTCTGGTTTACAGGGCTTCTTACATGCCCAGGACCAGTTGCGAAGCTTCGGGTACCTTGTTGGGGGGTATTTCTGGCATGAATCTAAGACCCGAAACCCTAAAAGAATACCGCTAAATCCTAAACCCCAAACCCTGAACCCTCAACAAGGGACACATTTGCCCGGGCTTTGAGTTTAGGGTTTATAGGTTTAGGGAATATAGGGTATTAGGACACCAGGGTATTCGGGTATTAGGGTATTAGGGTTTAGGGTTTAAGGCGCAGTGAACGACTCTACAGTGCTTACGGCTCTGTTCGCCGAGTCGGCGCCTCGTTGCAACCGTGGCGCAAACCCTGGATCTTAAGCCCGAAACCATAACCCCGAAACCATACACTCGAAGCCCTAAATTCCTACACCCGAAACCCGAAACCCTAAACCCTGAACCCTAAACCCTAAACCCCTAACCCTAAACCCTAAACCCCTTAACCCCTAAACCCCTCAACTGGGCGAAAAAAATACTCACCTAAACCCTACACCCTAAACCCTAAACCCCAAACCCTAAACCCTAAACCCGAAACCCAGTCCAAGGTGGATGCTCCGAGCCTTGCAGCGAGATGAGCTCCATCCAGTCGAAAGGATTCGACGCCCCGAAGATCCTTTAGGGTTTAGGGTTTAGGGTTTAGGGTTTAGGGTTTAGGGTTTAGGGTTCAGGGTTTCGGGTTTAGGGTTTATAGGGCTTGGGGTTTAGGGTTTATAGGGCTTTGAGCTTGGGGATAAGCGCTTACAGGGCTTGTGGGTGTTTTCGAGGGTTTCCTGCCGGCAGGCTATACTCCAAGTAAAAACCCCCGAAAGGGGGTGTAGGGTCAAGGGCCTCTAGCCTTTCAGGCTTGAGGCTGTAAAGATAGGGTTGGAGGGGTTCACGATATGGGGCTTAGTTGATTACGGTTGAAGAAGGGTGTGAGGTTTCCCTAAACCCTGACCCCTAAACCCTGAACTCTAAGCTTTCTGGGGTGCGCCGGGTACTCAGTCGACGGCACTGTCTCGTCGTTGTCTTGCACCCTGAAAAGCCTACATAGCTAGGCGAGGAAAACTTGACTCTAAGGGCCCACCCTAAACCCTAAACCCTAAACCCTAAACCCCAAACCCCAAACCCCTAAACCCTAAACCCTAAACCCTTCTTAAGGGTATACATTCAGTTGCAAACCCCTACCCCCGCAGGCCCTGAGCCCAAAACCCTAATGCCTGGAAGTTAAACCCCTACACCCCTAAAACCTCAGACCCTATAAACCCTAAACCCCTAAACCCCTAAACCTCTAAACCCCTAAACCCCTAAACCCCTAAACCCTCGACCTAAACCCAAACCCTAAACCTAAACCCTCAGAGACCATAGCGGCGAGGAGCTTGCTGTGGCCAAGAGCCGTCAGCAGCCGGTCTGCAACAAACTCGATGTACTGCGTCATCAGGTCCTGGGTTTAGGGCTTAGCTTAGGGTTTCGGGCTTAGGGTTTAGGGGGTTTAGGGTGTAGGGTTTAGGGTTCAGGGTTTAGGGTTTAGGGGGGGTTTAGGATTTGCAGGGTCACGGGTTTGGGGTTTGGGGTTTGCGTGTAGGGTCCTTGGTTTCGGGTTTAGACGGGTCGAGATTTTGGGGCTTAGTTTAGAACCCTGAACCCTAAACCCTAAACCCCCTAAACCCTAGGCTTAGTTTGGGACTTCCAGGGTCGAGGTCCTAAACCCTAAGCCCTAAGCCCTAAACCCTAAACCCTAAACCCTGAACCCTAAACCCTAAGATCTAGGGTTTAGGGCTCGCAGCTGACCGAGGCCGGTTAACCCTAAACCCTAAACCCTAAACCCCAAACCCTGGTAATATGCCGAGCTTGAGATCAATCAGTCCATGTGCCTCTTACGAGTTTTAAAAAAGGGCAACAAGCCTTAACCCTCAGGGTCCATGTACCCTTAGTTGCTGAGTTCATAAGCCCAAAAGAGTGTACACTTTCAGTTCTGTAGGGGAGTATGGTATCCCGCAAAAGTGTAAAGCGTACTCATTCAGCTACTGAGTACCTAAATATGGAAATCTTGGGCCGCAAAGTACTTGCTATGTAGGAACTCTGGGGGCCCAAGTATATAGACATGAGGTGCATGGACCCTCAGGGATAACCCTTGAGTTCAGAGTCACTCTCGCTTCACGCATTCGCAGTGCCTCCCCGAGTCGGACTCTTAAGTCATCCCGAAACCCCAACGCTAAACCCTAAACCCTAAACCCTAAACCCTGAACCCTAAACCCTAAACCCTAAACCCTGAATCCCAAATCCCAGCTGCGGCTTCATCCTTTGTCTCGGCCCAGGAGTAACCTACCCTTTTTGGTTTTAAGGGGATTATAAGGGAACCCCAACCCCTAAACAAGGGAAAAACGGGCCTACTCCGGGTCCTAGTTGTTGTAGGGTAAACCCTAAACCCTAAACCCTAAACCCTAAACCCTAAACCCTAAACCCTAAACCCTAAACCCTAAACCCTAAACCCTAAACCCGATAAACCCTATAAACCCTATGAACCCTATAAACCCTATAAACCCTATAAACCCTATAAACCCTAAACCCTAAACCCTTAGGGCTACAGCCGGCCTTGTTCATGCCGACGAGGTCGCACGACAGCGCGTCGCAAATGAACTTTCGCTCCACCTCCCACCGCTCCATAGCCGCGTCTAGGGCTTTGGAGTCTATAGAGCTTAGGGGTTCCCTAAACCCTCATCCCTGAGCCCTATAATCCCTTCCACTCCCTGGTATAATCCCTGTAAACCCTATAAACCCTATAAACGCTATAAACCCTGTAAGCCCCATAAACCCTATACACCCTATAAACCCTATAAACCCTAAACCCGAACTATGTAGGAAGTACTTTGAGGTATAGGTACATGACAGTTCACAGAGTCACCCTCTATTTCTCGAATTTCCCTGATGAACTCATAGGAACTCCAAGTAACTTCCCAAGAGGACCCTAGAGGGAGAAGTTTGACCACTTTTAGAGTTGCAGCTTCAGGTGTATGATGGCAAAGAAAATTGCACTACACTCAAACTCTGACACGCCTAAACCCTAAGCCATTACAGGGGTTAGGGGTACAAGGAAAAAGGACTAGGGGGCCTGACCGTAAGCCCTAAACCCAAGGGTTTAGGGTTTAGGGTTTAGGGTTTAAGCAAGCCTCCACTGCACCACGGATGATGTCGTGCACGATGTCTTCTGGGAGCTTGTTTTGCAGCCTCGGCAACCCTAAAGGTCCACGTAGCTCACTATTATGCACCTGGGCCTCAGAGTCCGTATATAGGAAGCACTTCATGGAACCCTTAGGGGTAGGGTCTGCAGTGATGTAGGGGTATAGGGTTTAGCGTTTAGGGTTTAGGATTCAGGGTTCAGGGGTTTAGGGGTTTAGGGGTTTAGGGGTTTAGGGGTTTAGGGGTTTAGGGTTTTTTTCAGGGTTTAATTAGGGGCTTAGGAGTTTAGGGGTTTAGGGGTTTAGGGGTTTCGGGGTTTAGGGGTTTAGGGCTCTTAGCGCAGGGCATGCGTAAGCTCGTCAATCTGTCCCGTGGCCCTGACTGTCCAAACGTGGCAGCATCAACGCAGCTCTATTCGACCTGGACCATACACCGTATACGGTCTAGGGTTGAGGATTTAGGGTTTAGGGTTTAGGGTTTAGGGTAGAAATGTTGGGAGTGTGAGGATCAGTGCGGTGATCGGGACGCACGTTCTAAGAGCCTCCAGTCCCAGCAGCATCTGGTAGAGGAGGCAGGCAAAGTCCGCGTGTAGGCCCTCGTCGCGGGAGATCAACCTTTGAAGGGATTGGCACACTCTAAACACTCAACACTAAATCCTAAACCCTACACCCTAACCCAAAACTGTAAACCCTAAACCCTAACCTAAACCCTAAACCCTAAACCCTAAACCCTAAACCCTAAACGCTAGGCCCTAGCCCTAAACCCTAAACCCTAAACCCTAAACCCCAAACTACCCCCCCCCCCCCCACAACAGGGCGGCAAGAGGCTCGTTGGAAAAGGTCAGGCCCGGCATCAACCCTCGCCTTGCGTGGGACTCGGACTTGTAGGGTCTTAAGGACCTCAAGGGCTTAGGGTTTGGGGTTTAGGGTTTAGGGTTTAGGGTTTAGGGGCCACAGCAAGCTCCTCGCCGCTATGGTCTCCTGACGGTTTAGGGTTTAGGGTTTAGGGTTTGGGGTTTGGGGTTTAGGGTTTGGGGTTTGGGGCTTGGGGCTTGGGGTTTAGGGTTTGGGGTTTAGGGTTTTGGGTTTGGGGCTTAGGGTTTAGGGCTTGGGGTTTAGGGCTAGGGGCTGCAGAGGCTGAAGGGCTTTTGGAGGCCTCAAGGCTTTAGGAGTTAGGGTTTAGGGTTTAGGGTTTAGGGTTTAGGGCTCAAGGGTTTGAGGTTTGTCGGGCCTGGGTGTGTTTGAGGCTTGAAGCCTGGCCACTTCTCAGGCGGCTATTTGGGGTTTAAGGTTTCTAGGGCTGAAGGTCAAAAGAATCTGCCGCCCATACGACACCCAAAACCCAAAATCCAAAACCCAAAACCCAAAACCCTAAACCCTCGAAGGCGGCAAGAAAACCCGAAGGGACTGTAAGCCTGCTGCTAAACCCTAAACCCTAAACCCTAAACCTTAAACCCTAAACCCTAAATCCCGGAACTCTGGCTTGGTGTCAGAGAGACTTCTTCAGCCAGAAGATGGCGCAGAAGGATCCGGAGAAAAGCACGCCCTGTGGAAAGTTTAGGGATTAGGGTTTAGGGTTTAGGGTTAGAGCCGAGGGAAGGGGTGGGTAGGGGAGGGGTCAAGGGTTTAGGGTTTAGGCTTTCACTGTGTTCAGAACCTAACTCCAAAACCCTAGACCCTAAACCCTAACACCTAACCCCATGTTCTGTATGTTGCCTTGAGGGCCGCCTAGGGGGGGCGGGGGGGGGATGCCCTAAAACAAGCCACAGGCCTCCCCATAGAACTTGAAAGTTTGCTCCCAGATCAACAGGGTTGAGGGTTGAGGGTTTAGGGTTTTGGGGGTTCGGGGTTGAGGGGAACCCTAAGCCCCAGAAACCCGACATGCCCTAACCCCTAAAACGCAAACCCCCCATAACCTGCCAACTTCCCTAAACCCCGCAAACCCGAAACCCCTTGAACCTCAGAAACTTTCCAGGGTGTAGGGTTTAGGGTTTAGGGTGTGGGGTTTAGGGTTTAGGTTTAGGGATGTTTAGGGTTCAGGGAAACCAAACCCCCAAAAGCGGCCTCCACGGCAGCGAAGGCCACGAGGCGTTCCGCGAAGCTGCTCTCGCGATTCATCCACTGAAGGGCCCAGTGCGCCTCGAGTTCTTCAAGGTTCATGGTGCTTACTAATGAATTTAGGGTTTAGGGTATTTAGGGTTTAGGGTTTAGGGTTTAGGGTTTAGGGTTTCGGATTTTGTCTGTACTTATACCTGTACTTGTACCCATTTTAGGGCACTTTAAGGGGCTTATAAGAGGGTCATAAGTACAGACATAGAGGGTTCATAAGTACCCTGAAGCTTCAAGTTGATGGTCTCTCAAGCCCAAACACCTTAAACGGCCCAAGGGCCCTGAGAGAAGCAACTGAAAACCCTAAACCCTAAACCCTAAACCCTAAACCCTAAACCCTAAACCCTAAACCCAAGCAGCCTTCTCACGAACCGGCGGCATCGTGTGGATAGCATCGAAGAGGCTCTCCCGCTCTTGTGGGTCCTTGAGACGAAGGCGCATGCAGGAATACGAGCCCGAATCCCTAACTCCAAGGGTCCATGTACCGAAAAGGGGCTTAGGATTTGGGGTTACAGGGTTTAGGGTTTAGGGTTTAGGGTTTAGGGTTTAGGGTTTTGGGTGTAGGTTTTGGGTCCATGTACCTCAATAGGGAATACTTGGGCCTTAAAGTACTTCCTATAATAATGAGGTACATGGACCTTTCATCTACAGGGGTGTAGGCTGGAGGCCCTAAGCCCCCACGTTCCTTGATGTACTGCTCAATGAGGAGGGAGTACGTCTCGGAGTGGATGTTCTCCATCGCCTGGGCGATGGCGTGTGGACGGCACGGAGCTTTTAAGCCAGGATTCGGAATTTGCTTCATGTTCACGTAGGGTTTAGGGCTGAGCTCCACCCTAAACTCGAAACCCTAAACCCCAAACCCCCATGGCATAGACTCCTCGGCAACACTGGAGATATCAAGAAAAGTGCTCCAGGGGGGGGGGGGGTGGATTCTGCTCTCAGCGGCTCCGAAGTTCTCTGTGCTAGGAGCAAACATCTACCTTTCCTGTTTGACCTCTGCCGTAACCTACCCCCCCACCCTTCTTCCAGCCCTGAAAATGGCAATGGGAGTACTACCAGCGGGCAGCCCAGTCGAGGCCCCCGCAATCTGGAAGCCATAGAAGGCCCTGGCTTCAGGGATCTGGATCTCGGAGGAGAACCTGGTCCGCTTTAGGCTTTGGGCTTTAGGCTTTAGGCTTTAGGCTTTAGGCTTCAGGCTTTAGGCTTTAGGTGTCAGGGTTTAGGGTTTAAGGTTTAAGGTTCTCCGAGAGTACGTACCTTCAGGCTTAGGAAACCTGACCCTTGACCCTAAACCCTAAACCCCAAACCCTGAACCCTGAACGAGGGTTATTAGGAGCGCACGCATGCATGCGAAGAAGCTTCGGTTCCGGAAAGGGCCCAAAGTGGAAGGCTTTGGATGTCTCAAACCCGAAGCCCTAAGCCCCGAAACCCCGAACAAGCCTACCACGTGCCTAATTCATCATTGTGTTTAGGGTGTACTGAGAAACCTGTCTCGAAAGCAAAAAACCCTAAACCACCCCATGCCAAACCCCCCACACAAAGGCTGGGGTTTTGGTCCAGGGTGCTTCCCGAGCATATGTGGGCCGCGAAGTACTGCCCTGCCGTGCCTCTTGGGACCCAAATAATGATATTTTGAGTTCAGGTACAAGGATCGACCCTCAGGGTAATTTCCCTACACCCTTGCCCCTAAGCTTTAAGCACCCTAAGCACCCTCAACACCAATCCAGGAGAAGCCGCTGCGCCGCCAGGTTTTCCAAGACGATGCCGTCCGAGGCCGCGAAGAAGGCAAGCACGTGCTTGATGAAGTGCTGCTCACCTTGTGGGCACCCTAAACCCTAAACCCTAAACCCTACACCCTACACCCTAAACCCTAAACCCTAAACCCTCAAGAATGTCTCGGACGAAGGAAGGGGTTTCGGGTGTCGGGTTTCGGGTTTAGGGTTTAGGGTTTAGGGTTGAGGGTTTAGGGTTTAGGGTTTAGGGATCAGGCTTTCTCTCAGCCCTTTGTAGAACCTGGAGTATCCCATACCGCCTTACGGAGGTACGTCGGTTGCCCTGTTGCGTGGCTCTCAAAATTACAGTCCGTTTTCGGGGGGGGGGGGGGGGGGGGGGGGGGGGGGGGGTAGGTGGCCGTACTATATTTAGGACCCAAGAAGGGGACCAAATTTAGAGAACTACCCGTATGTAAGTGAACCGAAACCATAGCCGTAAACCCTAAACCCTAAACCTCAAACCCTAAACCCTAACCCCTCAACTCCTTGTAATGGAACCCCCACGACTGCTAAACCAAAAGAAGTCCGCCCTCTGTGGCCCCGGACCCTCATTCAAGGTGAGCCAATCCTTGCTGTCCTGAGGCGGGGAGGGTTCAGGGTTTAGAGCTTAGGGTTTAGGGTCAAACCCTGGACCTAAACCGTGAGGATCGTCAAGGTCTAGAACTCATCCGTCAAGCCGTGCACCGTGAAAACTGCCTGGGCTCTAGACCCTAAACAAGAAACACTAAACCCTAAGCCATAAACCCGAAACCCTACATTCCAAACCCTAAACCCTGTCCTGTGCCAGGTCGATCTCCTCGGCGGTCCAGAACGAGGCCTCGTGCTTCTTGTACCTGAGATTAGGGTTTAGGGTTTAGGGTTTAGGGCTTAGGGTCGTGATCCCAGGGCATCGGAGTCTTGGATGGTCTTGCGGGTGTTGGGGCGTTGAAGAAGATGCCAGGGGCTGGAGGAATGCCGAACATCAGGATGATTTAGACTAAGAACTACTACCTAAGACTCCCATACAGGGCTTGATAGTACTTGTAACCCCTCAACCCTAAACTTTGAACCTTAAACTCTATAACAACCTACCAAGGGGCAAGTCTTGAGCTCTTAAGGGAGAGGTTCCCCTCACCCCCCCCCCCCCCCTCCACCGCGAGCCCGAAACCACAAAGCTAGAACTTCTCGGTGAGCGCCCCTTTCCCTCCTTTTTTCGGAGTTGCCTAAGCCCTAAACCCCCAACAGCAAACCCTAATCCCTAAATTCCTAGACCCTAAACTCCCAAACCCTCCCTAAACTCTCAAACCCTGAGCCCTAAACTCCCGAACCCTCGACTCTAAACCCCGAACTCTAAGCTCTAAGCCCTAAAACTCCGAATCCTAAACCCCAAACCCTAAACCCTAAACCCTACACCCTAAACCCTAAACCCTAAACCCTAAGCCCCAAACCCCAAACCCCAAACCCCAAACCCCAAACCCCAAACCCTAAACCCTACCTACCACGAAAGCAACCCGCAGCATCGCTGATGCCGAAGGTCATCTCCCACACTTCAGGATGCTGCAAGGGGAACATGACCCAACCTGGCAAAGGGCTTTCGAGGGTTGAGGGTTGAGGGTTTAGGGTTTAGGGTTTAGGGTTTAGCGTTCAGGGCTAGGGTTGAGGGCTTAGGGGTTAATTTTAGGGTTTAGGGTTGGGGCTTAGGGTTAAAGATTCAGGGTTTAGGGTCTAGGATTAAGGGTTTGGAGCTCAGGGTAGCTACCGGAAGCTTGTTGCAGTGAAGCAGATTTTGTCATGGTTAGGGCGTGCCCTTGTTTGGGACTCAGGGCCTCGGGTTTTGGGGAGTAAGGAATTGGGTGTCCCACTTGTGAAATCGTTACGGCGCGTCTGTGGAAGTGTGGTCGGAAAGCTGAGCCCTCTAACTCTAAGGTCCCCAAAGTCACTGCAGAGAGGAAACACTTTAAGGCCCTAATATTCTGGATCCACTGTATTCACCCCATTTAGCTGTACGGATCCTTTTAGGCTCTGAGAGCAGACTAAGCTGAACATGCAAAGGTTCAGTTTTCCAGGCGTGCTAGAGAGTATATGTTTGTTATTTCGCTGCCCCTAAAACGGTGCTTGGATACTTCTTCGACTACCAAGACGAGCCTTCAACAATTTTTCGCGCGCACTGCTAACTTGCTAACTTAGAAATGCATGAGTTGGTCTTTGGAATACTACTATTTGCTTGAGAACCCCCCCCCCAAAAAAAAAAAAAAAACATAATAATCCCCATATTACCCTTAATAAGGAAGAATATGTTTATTTTGGGGGTTCTTAAGCAATTAGTAGAATATGTCTCAAAACACACCCCTGACCCACTCTAAGCTTCCCCGAAGCATAACGAGTCCGAGAGACGCTGCGGATTCTCCTTGAGCAGCGGGTCTTGCTTCTCCAACCGCCGGTACTCCTTTCAGAGAGGTGCACAAAAAGAATATAGTCATCCCCTATTATTGCCAATAGTAGAATACTGGCTTATACTCAACTGCCATAAGCCACAGACGCGATTTATTCTCCCAATTCCCATTTGGGGCTGGCTAGTGCAGATTTCCGATGCAGATCCGAAAACATTGGACTCATGAGACCCGAGAAACGCAAACTAAAAGAGCCGAACAGCTTCGGTTTAGGGTTTAGGATTTAGGGTTTTGGGTTTACCCTAAGGGACCATGTACCTGATTATTCTATACTTGGGCCTTAAAGTACTTCAGGGCTAATGTGGTTTGACTAGGGCTTTTGCGGCATGTCTCTTTTTGCACTTCAGGGTTTAGAATTTCGGGTTTAGGGTTTGGGGTTTATAGGGTGTCGGGGGAGAAAATGCTGAAACACGGATGGAACGCAGTGAGCATTACAGACGCACCAGAAACCCGGGGTGTTACAACAACTAACCGAACCCGCCAGCAAAGCTAGGGGTTCCTTACGTTAGCTGGTAGATTCCTTCAGGGTTTAGGGTTTGGAGTTTAGGGTTTAGGGTTTGGGGTTTAGGGTACCTCACCATTCTATGCTTGGGCCCTAGAGTCCGTATATAGCAAGTACCTTAAGGCCCAAGTATTCCCTATTTAGGTACATGGACCAAACCCTAAACCCTAACCCCTAAACCCTGAACCCTAAACCCTAACCCTAAACCCCCTTCTAGGTACATGGACCCTTATAGGGCCAGGTAGATTTCGGGCGGCCTCCGAAACGCGGCTTTGCCGCGGAATCGGCATGAGCGAGCCCTCGCCAGCCAACGCCTCGGCAAGAGTGGTTTAGGGTTCAGGGTTTAGGGTTTTGGGGTTTGGGTCTGGGTTTGGAGTGTTGGGTTTAGGGGATTAGGGTTTAGGGTTTGGGGTTTTGGGGTTTGGGGTTGGTTCAGCACCCCCCCCCCCCCCCCCACCCCCCCCCCCCACCCCCCCCCACCCCCCCCCCCACCCCCCCCGCCCACCCACCTGTCTTTTGCTTGAGCTTGTCCTGCACAAAACTCTGCCGAGCAGGTTGGGATGATCTTCGAACCATGCGAGCGGGTTTAGACCTCTCAACTATGCTCCGGGGTCGGCGGCTTGAGCCGGAGGCTCTTAAATAGGGTTTAGGGTTTGAGGTTTAGGGTAACCCGAAATCGATCCCGAGGGGGAGGCCCGGCCAAAAAAGTCTTATTTTAGGGAGGGGTTTAATAAGCGTATGGAGGGAGGACGCAGAATCATTACACAGAAACTGCTGTAGCAAGCTCCTATGTAGGATCCTAGCAGCCTTAATATAACCCGAAACCCCTAAACCTCCAAGCCCCAAAAACCCAAAAACCCCGAAACGCCGAATTCCTTCGACCCTACAACTCTGAACCATGAGCTCCCCCTAAACCCAAAACCCTAAACCCTAAACCGCCGTTCTAGGAACATGGCCCTGTCAGTGTCCACTCGAAGGCTCCACCGCCCGGACCTTGAACCCTCAACCCCTAGATTCCGGCAAAGGGTTTAGGGTTTAGGGTTTACGGTTTCGGTTGAAGCTTTAGGGTTTTTCAAGGGCTTTGGGGACATAGGCCTTTCATCTCAACGGCCAGAGTGCCTCAACGTGACATACTTGGGCCCCCAGGTCATTACATAGGTACTTGAAAGCGCAAGTGTACTATATGGAGGAAGATGGACCCTTAGGGCGACATCTTCATCGGTTTCTATGAGGCTGTAATCCTGTGCAGAGTACTGTGTTGGAGGTTTCAGAAGGCGCCTTGCCAGGAATGCTCGAAGCTTGAGTTTCAGCTCGTCCGGAACGATCGGAAGGCAAAAGCCGCGCAATCATCCTTTGGTCTATCACGAGCTTCGCCGCCTGGCCTGCTGACGAGGCTGGGATGTAGCCACCAGCCTTTCAGACAGGAAACTTGTCAGACGTGAAGCACGCTGCGTTGCAGAGGCTCAAGGCCCAAAGAAAGAACCCGATAGACCCTCCGCCAAATCCCAAACCCTAAACCCTAAGCCCTGTTTGGGGAGCCGTGGTATCCTCGTGAAGACACACCGCGCCTTGCCGCGTCCTAGACCCGAGAGAGGAATAGAAGGGGTGCCCTTCTTGGGGTTAAAGGGGCTTACAGGGGAACCCAAGCCCTGAAACAAGGGAATCAAGGCCTACTCCGGGCCCCGCCTTAAACCCTAAACCCTAAGCCCTAAACCCTAGCCCTAAACCCTAGCCCTAAACCCTAAACCCTAAACCCAAAGGGCCTTCTCCGGGTCCTGGTAATTATAGCAGCCAGCCTCTTTGCCAAAAACCAAGCCCTGAACCCGAAACCTTTCGGCTCCTGCAAACCCCAGGGCTCCTTTGGGGCTTAGGGTCAAAAGAGTTTAGGGTTTAGGGTTTAGGGTTTAGGGTTTAGGGTTTAGGGTCTATGGAGATCAGGGTCTATGGGGTTTAGGATCTACGGAGTTTAGGGTCTATGGGGTTTAGGGTCTTTAGGGTTTAGGGTCTATTGGGTTTAGGGTCTTTAGGGTTTAGGGTTAGGGCTTCGTGTGGTTGACTAGGCTGCCCAGTAACCTAGGCATAAAAAGGGTGCCCTTTTTTGCTTAAAGGAGTTTATAAGGGAACCTAAACCCCCAAAAAAGGGAATAAGGGTACTACTGGGCTTCGTGTGGTTGAAGGCCAAGTCGCGGCGTCCAGGTCCTCCGGCAGGGAGACCTCGTAGTTCTTGAAGACCTGACCGGTTCCAACAGCTGCCTCTCCCCGCCCCCCCGGCACCCCCTAAACCCTAAACCCTAAACCCTAAACCTTAAACCCTAAACCCGCAATACAAATTTAAAAAGCCACCCACTTTAAATCTTAGATAACCCGACATAGACAAAATCATGTGCCTTGGACTCCGATTGCCCGGGGGAAGGGGGGGGGGGGGGGGGGGTGAGGGGTGAGGGGTTGTGGTGTTCTAGGGAACGAGATTAGAGCTGAGGACGCTTGAGGCTTCGAGGTCTTCTTGGGTTTTTGGCAGCTCTTGGTCTTCTTTGCCATCAAGGAATCCAAGGAAGGAGTCAAATCTTACAAGCAATACCCTAAAACCTAAACCCTAAACCCTAAACCCTAAACTGTACTTGTCCTACTTCTTGAAGCAAGGATGAAGTGGCACTATCACCTCAGACACTAGGCCTCGCATGTGGCCCGGGAACCTTCATCCACCTGCTATCCGTTCTCGCAGGCCTCTTGTCTGATCCATGGGTTTAGGGTTTAGGGTTTAGGGTTTAGGGTTTAGGGTTTAGGGTTGAGGGTTTGAGGTGCCCAAAGCTGGACAGCCCAAAATTGCCCTCACCAAAACCGAATGGCAAAATACCAGCAGAAGCCAACCACTAAAACCCTATAAACCTTAAACCCTAAACCCTCAACCCTTTTCCCTAAACCCTAATTAAACCCTAATCCCTAAACCCTAAACCTTAAACCCTGAACCCTGTCATTGCCGCGTCAAGATATGGTGGGGCACCGCTGCCTTTCCGTTCGGCGCAATGACTGTGTGGTGCGGCAGCCCCGAAACGCCGTAGCTTTGCGGGGCATCCTCCGTTCACACACGCGGAACCTTCCAGAACTACTAAAGAACCTAATCCATAGGGCGCCAAGTCTACAATTGGAATATACATTAAACCCTATAAACCCTAAACCCCTAAACCGGTCTACCTTTTGTGCTACTTTGAGCGTTAGGGGCCCAGAACCCTTACAGCAAGAACCCTTGGAGGTAGGTTTATGTAAGTCAACCTCAGAGTAAAACCTGTAGGGCTTGCGATTTAGGAAGCGTTAGGGTGTATATAAGATTTAGGGTTCTTGAGCTATGAACATATGAAGTCGCACTCCTGCTGGCCTTTCGAGCCCTTGCAACAGAGACCACTCGTGCAGAATCCCCGGTGTAGGCCACAAAACCCATTCGTCAAACGTTGAGACCTAAACACCTAGAGCATTTAACCTAAACCCTAAACCCTAAAGCCCGCAAGCCCTAAAGCCCTAAATCCTCAACCATAAGCTTCAAACTCTACATCGCTCCTCGTCCACCACAGCCGTCACGATGCAGCCCTCGATCCCGTGCTGGTCCGCGAATGCTTGGGCCTCCCGGCTTCAAAATCTAACGGTGTTTAGGATACAAGGTTTAGGGGAGGGTTTAGGGTTTAGGGTTTCGGGTTTAGGGTTTAGGGATAGAGGGTTCAGGGTTTAGGCTCGAGCGATTTAGGGTTCAGGGATGTAGGATGTAGGTTTAGGGCTTGTGATCTTGCATTTGCAGCACGCAGCGCACGTGCCTAAAATCTAAACCCTAAACCCTAAACCCTAACCCCAAACCCCAGACCCTGCAAGCTCCTCGCCTACCCCTACGCGCCCCAAGCCCTGATGGCTGGAATGTGGATTGCAGTAAGAACCCAAAACCTATGGGTCTAGGGTTTAGGGTTTAGGGTTTAGGATTTAGGGCTATACCTTTTCTTAGTTGTCCAGTAACCAGGGGGAATTAAAGATTAACCTTTGGGATTATAAGGGGATTATACTACAGTACCCCCAAAAAGTGCAAGGATAAATACTCTACTACTAGGTTTTTGTAGGTTACGTAGGAACCCGAGAAGGAGGTTATAGTAATAACCTACAAGAAAGTGCGATTTTTTTTGCTCTTAGGGTCTAGGGCATAGGATCACTTGGGGGGGGTTTTGGTTTAGCTACTGGTCAGGGTCCAGAAACACCACTTCACTAAATATACAATCCACCCCAAGCCGAACGTTTAGGGTTTAGGGTTTATGGTTTAGGGGAACCCCTTTAAAGTCTTAAATACGCTATGCTTCAGAAGCCGAAACACTTCGTAACGGTACAGCCCCACAAATGCCCTGAAAGGTAGGGCTTGGGTTTGGGGTTTGGGGTTTAGGGTTTAGGGTAGCCCCTATAACATCTAAACCCTACGATCTTACCCCTGAACCCTGAACTCGAAACCCTACGCAACCAGACCCAAGGGTAGCCGAGGAATAGAAGGGGTGCCCCAAAAGGGGCATACAAGGGAAACCCTAAACCCTAAACCCTAAACCATAAGTGCTATAAACCCTAACCCTCAACCCTAAAACCCTAAACCCTAAACCCTAAACCCTAAATGCTATAAACCCTCAACCCTAAACCCTAAACCCTCAACCCTCAAACCCTAAACCCTAAACCCTAAGAACAAGGAATACGGGCCTACTCATCCTAGCTAAACCATGGCCTCTGCGGCTGAGCCGTCCACGCACACCAAGACAAACTGGCAGCGATCGCCATAGCTCTTCGACATCCTCGAGCTCTAACCCTAAACCCTAAACCCCAAACCCTAAACCCTAAACCCTAAACTCTAAACCCTCGGTGGGGTTGTAAAAGGAGCTTGGGGTTTGGGGCACTGGGTCTTATATCATGGGAAATTAGTTCTTCAAAGAAGGGCCTTAGAGCCGCAGACAACCTAGAAGTCCAGGGGTTTGGGGTTTAGGGTTTAGGGCCTGCAGCCTCGTAAAGCCATTAAAGCCTTAAACACGCAGGCCGGCAAGCCCTACAGCCAGTGATCTAACTGATGAGGAGAGGGTGTGGGATTTAAGGTTGGGATTTAAGCTTAGGCCCGCGAGTTAACTGTTTAGGAGTGGATTTAAGGTTTGGGATGTTTAGGGTCTAGAGTTTAGGGTTTAGGGTTTAGGGTTTAAGGTTTAGGGTTTAGGTCTATCTACACCCGTTGACTGTCAAGAAGGGACAAAACGGCTGTTGAGGCACGCCCACCCCAAAATCCGGGAAGCCGCCCTAAGCCCTAAACCCTACACCCTACATCCTAAACCCTACATCCTAAAACCCTAAACCCTAACTCCTAAACCCTATAAACCCTAACACTTAAGACCCTAGGCTTCCCCAAGCCTAGCTGGCAGCGCACCTTGCTGTGTCGTCTAACGCAGGCGACTTTTCCGTTGCAAAGGTCATTTCGGATTTGGAGTTGCGGGGTATATGGGGGGGGGTTTACGAAAATACGGGACCCCTAATAGAGACCCCAAATAGTAGGATCCCCTTACAATAAGGACCCCAAGAAGGTACCCCTAATAATTATCGTAATATGGTAGACCACTAGTTCTGAGTAGAGTCATGCGGAGCCTAAATTGGGTCATAGGGCTCCTCGCTTAGGTTATAAGTCCCTTAACTCTACGGTTTAGGGTTTGGGGTTTGGGGTTTAGGGTAAGCAGGTCCCTCCTCGTACAGCATGTAATTAAACTACTTAGGTGCCCCAAACATCTCCTCTAAAGTACCTGGATCCTCTTTGGAACGAGGCAAAAGATCAACGGCTGCCAGGCGGCTCCTCAAGCTTTTGTGCTGCCTTGGGGCACGCCTTGCAGGTTTCTTTGCCCTAAACCCTAAACCCTAAACCCCAAACCCTAAACCCTAAACCCTAGACCCTAGACCCTAGACCCTAAACCCTAAACCCTCAGGCATTTAGGGTGCAGGGTTGGTCTTCAGCAGCTGCGGGTTTGGAGACGGACGCTGAGGGGCTGGGGGGGAAAACGCTTACGGCACAACGACAGCATCAAGAGCCATTCGCTGACAGGGCCTGCGGTCTCTGAACAAAAAAACAGGGGAGGCTCCAGCTACCCCCACAGGAGCCCCCGAGCCATCAAACCATCTGCGTCTGCCTGGACCCCCACCCCCCCCGCCCCCTCAAACAAGGGTTAAGGGTTTAGGGTTGAGGTTTTAGGGGTCTAGGGCGTCTCGGGTTTAGGGTCAGAATAAAGGGCGCATGGGCAGTTTTCGGGGTAGTTTTCTACTGTAGACAGGTCCTGCCTCAACCTCGAAGTCTCCAACCAACGAATGGCTCAGAACATGCTTCGTTCCAAGCACACAGGCTTATCACTACGTTCCAATGTTCAATACACTTCATCAAAGATGAAACCCTAAACCCTAAACCCCAAACCCTAAACCCTAAACCCTAAACCCCAAACCCCAAACCCCAAACCCCAAACCCTAGACCCTGAACCCTAAACCCAAAGGACTAAGAAGGTGCGGCGCCCTCAGTGCTTTGAACCCTAAGCCCTGGACGCCTACGTGATGCCCGGGCCTTGCACCAGGGGGCAAAGAAGTCGATCACCATGGCCTGCTCGGCTTCTTGGGCCCCTAAACCCTAAACCCTAAACCCTAAACCCTAAACCCTAAACCCTAAACCCTAAACCCTAAACCCTAAACCCTAAACCCTAAACCCTAAACCCTAGACCCTAGACCCTAGACCCTAAACCCTAAACCCTTTAAACCCTAAACCCTATGCAGAGGGGGTATCAGCGACTTGAAGCTCTCTGCGAGTTCAGTGAACGGGGGAACTTTGATGGAACGTACCTACAGGTACACCCCCTGAACAGGTCAGTATACCTCAGGGTTTAGGGTTTAGGGTTTAGGGTTTAGGTTTAGGGTTTAGGGTTTAGGGTTGAGGGTTTAGGGTTTAGGGTTTAGGGTTTAGGGTTTAGGGTTTAGGGTTTAGGGTTTAGGGCAGGTCAGTATACCAGTGATGCAAGGAGGGCCTCCCTTACTTATAACCTCAGCTATGAGCCTCATAAACCAATTTAGGGTCCTTATAACTCTACTTTTAACTAGGGGGAGGGGGGGGGGGGGCTATCTCACTCCCCTGAACCCTAAACCCAAGACAACCTGAGCCTAGAGCCTAAGCCCTGAACCCCAAACGCGAAACCCTGAACCTTTGTCCCTATGAACCCTAAGGTTTAGGGTTTGGGGTTTAGGGTTTAGGGTTTAGGGTTTAGGGTTTCGGGTTTCGGGTTGAGCCCCATACCAAGCTTCACGAATCCACACCAGACCCAAGAGTACCCTAGGAATTAAAAGGCGCACCCTTTTTGGTTGAAAGGGGCTGAAAAAGGGAACCTAAACCCCCACCAGTAGGGAATAAGGGCCTACTCTGGGTACCCTCAACTCTAAAAACCCGATAAACTCTGAGAAAAGGCAGGAATAAGGGCCTACTCTCGGCCCTACAACAAGTTCTGGCTACCACCCGGAACCCTAAACCCTAAACCCTAAACCCTGAAACCCTGAAACCCTAAACCCTAAACCCTAAACCCTGAACCCTGAACTTGAATCGCAATCTTCGAGACTAGTGCCTGCCCAGGCTTCCGCAGCGCCAGAAGCGCGGACTGGGAGGATTCCTGGCTAGGGTTTAGGGTTTAGGGTTTAGGACTTAGGGCTTAGGGTTTAGGCTTTAGGGCTCTCTAGACTTGCGTCAAAAACTAAGCAGAACTCACGTGCGGTCGACTTATCGGTGTCTGCGTACAAAAAATGATGTATTCGGGTTCGAAGCCCAGTGCTCTACTCTTGTGTACTTAGTTGCTGAGTTCATAAGCCCCCCCTCCCAAACAAAAAGTGTACACTTTCAATTCTATAGGGGATTATGTGTAAAGTGTGCTTGCTCACTCAGTTACTAGTAAGTGAGCCCTAAGCCCTGAACCCTAACCCTAACCAATCCTTAACCCTAAAATCTAAACCCTAAACCCTAAACCCTGGGCTACTCTTGTGTATGCGACGGCCGGTGAGCTCGATCTGACTTCGACTCGACTTGGAGGCATCTTTGGGTTCGAAAACAAACAAAAACGGGGTTCTTTCGAGATCAAAAAAACCAAACGAATACAACCAGGTTTAGGGTTTAGGGTTTAGGGTTTAGGGTTTAGGGTTTAGGGTTTAGGGTTTAGGGTTTAGGGTTTGGGACTTAGGGTTTAGGGCAAGAGAAAGCGAGACCGAAACAGAGAACAGAACAACTGCTTCGGGGCTTGGAAGCAGCCCGCGAGACAACACCGAAGCCTGTACGCCAAAAAAACAAACCCTAAACCCCAAACCCTAAACCCCAAACCCCAAAGAAGCTTGATCCCGACACCTCAAGTTGCAAACTCCAAAGCTGTTTCCCGAATTACTGGAGAACCCAGATACTATATTTAGGTACAGGGGCCCTTAATGGCCACACGCGGCGTAAGCCGTAAACCCGAAACGAACAAACCCCAAACCCCAAACCCTAAACCGTAAACTCTAAACCCTAAACCCTAAACCCTAAACCCTAAACCCTAAACCCTAAACCCTGAATAAACCCTGAACCCTGAACCCTAAACCCTCTTTCACTTAACATCCCTGGAAAAACGGCGCTCTCCTTTGTTGGCGTGGAGACCTCCAGCTCCATGTCGGGTGCCATCCTTGCATTTGACTCCAAGTAAACAGCTTTCGGGTTGGGATTTAGGGTTTAGGGTTGAGGGTTTAGGGTTTAGGGTTTAGGGTTTAGAGGATTTGGCCACCGCCCGAAACCTACTCCTTTAGCCCAAGGACAAAACCAAAGTTTAACTTTCAAAAGCGAAGCGGGTTTATGGATGTCCAGGACTTGGAGCTCGGGATTCAGAAACTTTTGCTACTACGCTACAGGAGCTTGCATCTTCCACACATGTCAAATGCGAAACTACTGGGGGCCGGACGCAGCTGCACAGTTTGGGGTTTAGGGTTTTGGGATTATCGGAAGCCTACCTTTTTTTTGCGGGTACTTTTTCGGGTAGGCGTGGACCCACTGTACGTAGTATGATGAGGCAAGTACTTACCTTCCCACGTTCTGCGTCCCAGCTGCTGACCAATCACTGCGGCGGCCATGGGTGCTGATGATGCAGTTACGGACGCGGGAGCTACGCAGCACACGAAGGTTGTTGCTTGACAGGTACGTCGCGGAGAACATGGGGACATTGATCCCCTAAACTTGAAAGATTGACCCCGAATCCCAACTACCTCCGAGCATTGCATCCAAACGGTTTGTGGCTTAGAGATAACTGCTCGGACCCTAGTACGAAGCTCCTCCTTCACTCTGAAAGGCCTATGTTGAGGGTAGTTGCGCGTTCCTATGAAGCAACAAAGCAACGTGGAACCAATTGGCGCAAACATGCCCTATGCGCCCGAAACTCTAAAATCCTAAACCCTAAAACCCTAAACCCTAAACCCTAAAACCCTAAACCCTAAACCCTAGACCCTAAAGACCTAAAACCCAAAACCCACCCCTCGATCCTAAGCCCTCATGAAACCGGAGCTACGAACCCAACTTTCCGAAGCACCGTGTTTCCTGCCTAAGCACGGTTTAGGGTTTAGGGTTTAGGGTTTAGGGTTTAGGGTTTAGGGGGAGCATTGGTTTCCAAACCACACTTCCTGAAACCGGGAGAAACCTGAAATTCTGGGAACTGGGGGTTTCGGGATTCGGGCTTAGGGCTTCAGGGCTTCGGGTTTTCCAGCTTGCGAGGGCAATTCGGGCACCCCTAAGAACCATACCTCCAAACTTCCACAGTGTCGTTATAGGAACCCCTTTAAACCCTAAACCCTAAACCCGAAACCCTCAACCCTAGCTCCAGATTGACTGCTCGAAGCTCGCAGCTCGACAAGCCCTCTACCTTCAACCACGAAACCACGAACAACAAAGCACACACACTCACACAGACAAACCCCTCAATTCTGCATGAATAACGTTGTATAATCTAGTGCAGAAAAGGTGCTATGATACTGTATTAATGTAATGGAATAAAACTGAGAAGAATGGTATAATGCAGGAATATAAGTATGAGGCAAATGCCAGTATCAAGTGTGTTTCCAAAAACATAACACACATGATTTTCAAGGACTCTCTCTCTCTCTCTCTATACATATATATACATATATACAAATAAACAAACATATTATATATATACATATGTGTCAGGCATGCCTCTATGAAGGCGTCGCGGCGCGCTTGCAGGCATCGCGCGTTGCGGGGCCGAGATCCAACGAAAGGCCTCAACCCTTGTTGCGTCTGAATGAACTCCTAGACGAGGAGTAATCTAGGAATAGAAAGGGTGCCCTTTCTGGTTTTAAGAGGCTTATAAGGCCCTAAACCCTAAACCCTAAACCCTAAACCCTAAACCCTAAACCCTAAACCCTAAACCCTAAACCCTAATTAAACCCTAAACCCTAAACCCAACCCTAAAAAAGGCGAAACCTCAACCTTGCCTCAATGGCCTAGACGAGGGGCCAGGCAAAGCATTGCTTGAGCCAGAGCACTGACAGCATTGAGCGTGGACCCCTAAACCCTAAACCCTAAACCCTAAACCCTAAACCCTAAACCCTAAACCATAAATCCTAAACCCTAAATCCTAAATCCTAAACCCTAAACCCCAAGCCCTCCCTCGAAGCTACAGCAGAAGGCGCTCATAAGATCCAGCCGTAGCTCTTTGTGGAAACACAAAACCAAGCCCTTGGTGTCTCCTACCTTATTTAGGGTTTAGGGTTTAGGGTTTAGGGTTTAGGGTTTATAAAGGGTTTAGGGTTTAGGGTTTAGGGTTTAGGGTTTAGGGTTTAGGGTGTCGGGACGAACATCAGCCTACAAGGTTCAGTCAATGCAAGGAGCGCCTCCCCCTTGCCACACTAACTGCAGTTGAGGGACTTATAAGGTTTAGGGTTTAAGGTTTAGGGTTTAGGGGTTAGGGTTCAGGGTTTAGGGTTTACGGACTTATAACGTAAGTGAGGAGCCTTATTTGCCAATTGAGGGCCCTTATAGCGCCCTCCCTCCTTGTATAGGGACTACAACTATAGCAGTGTACATTCTCGGAGGTTCATCTGGTCCCTTCGGTACTTCCTCGCACCGTACCCTGACCCCGAAGCCATCAGCGCCTGAGGCACCCTCTTGGGGTTCGGACCTCGGGGCTTAGGGTATTCCGGGGTTTAGGGTTTAAGGTATTCATGGGTTTGGGGTTTAGGGTTTAGGGTTTGGGGTTTAGGGTTTAGGGGTTAAGGCATTTATGGGGGGGTTTAGGGCTTGCATTCCAAAAGCCCTCGGCTCCAGTTGCTGAGCTGCAAGCTGCCATCTGATGATCCGAAAAGGTCCGCAGCAGCTGCCTTGGCAGATGGTCATGAGACGTGCCGATCGCAACATGCGTGGAAGGGGGGGGAACCCTAAACTTAAAATTGCACGGAGCGCGCCACAACAGAGACCGGCAAGTGGCTCACAATCTGGATGAGACTAGAAACCACCTCCCGTTAGGGGAGTTGGGCGCGTTGGATTGGAGCAGCGACTGTGACGACTAAACTCCAAGACCCATCTGTTCTGTAACCCTAAACCCTAAACCCCAAACCCTAAAGCCCAAACCCTAATCCCTAAACCCTCAACCCTAAACCCTGAACCTGTAAGGACGAATGGCCCTGATTGCACATCGAACAAGCCGACGTGCGTGTCAGCAGAGCCAGTGAGCACCTGCCGACAGAGCACGAAGTGCGGTTTAGGGTTTAGGGTTTGGGGTTTCGGGTTTAGGGTTTAGTGTTTAGGGTTTAGGGTCTAGGGGGTTAAGGGCGTATTGGGTTTAGGGTGGAGGGTTTACGGCCCCCCTCCCTCGCCCCACTCCCCAACCGCATGGGCAAAGATTCCCGGCACGCTGCCCGCGAGAAATTTGCTGGGGGGCGGGTGGGTGGCCGGGAGGGGGGGGGTTGATTTAGACCGGCCTGCAACGCACACGTTCAAAAAGGGAAGATGTAAGATTATCGTTACTCGGCATATTCAGCCCTAGTACCCTAAACCCTATTCCTTGCAGACGCCAAAGTAGGCATGATCTACATACCTAGAGTCGTCGGGAGTGCTGAAACATTGGTGAGGTGCGCTAGGTGCATGGGGCTCAGGGTTTAGGGTTTAGGGGGTGGGCTTCGTTTACTACAAGGACCCCCACCCCCCCACCCCATATACTGACTGTAGCTAAGTATACTGACTGTAGTTGAGGGATTACGGGGGTTTAGGGTTTAGGGCTTAGGGTTTGGGGACTTACAAGCAGGAGCCTTATAACCCAATTTAGGTCCTTATAACTCTACTTATGACTTGGTCTAGGGGGTCCCCCTCCTTGTAGCTCAATCCCAGAGACGACAAAACTTCCCCTCCTTCATCGTCGTAGGATCCCTTTGGAGTTTAGGGTTTAGGGTTTAGGGTTTCGGGTTTAGGGTTTAGGGACTAGGAACCCTTGAACAACAACAGGGTTTGCTTAAGCGCCTGCTTTCCATCCGGCGTGAAAGCGGCCGCATACACGGCGCTTGCGTGCCCCGCAAGTGTCCTGGAATTTGGGTCCAGATTTGATTTCCGACCAGTGGCCAGCCCAAATCTAGCAGCATAATTATAACTGTATAAAACATGTTATTCAAACATGCATGTTATATGTACATATGCATACATATGGTGTTTCTTCTAGCAGCTATAACAGGAACATCGGTAGTGGGCGCAAAGATCCGAGGCGGTGCCTGGCCGGAAATCTTAAGACATGATTAATTTGGTAGGAAATTTGGGACCTTAACTCCCTGCTGGCCTTCTGAGAACCATTAAGCGCAGATGCTTCGAGAAGCCAAGCACTGTGGGAGCAAAGTGAAGGCTTTCTTTAGCCTAAGCCCTCAGCCTGAACCCTGACATATGGTGTTTCCAGCAGCTCCTATGAAAAGGCCCATGGCTCTTCTAGCCTTCCACGTTGGTGTTTCCGGGGGCCATGACCGTTCAAACTGGGATGCTGCAGCACAGCCAACCATTCATTCATTGAATTGGGTGGGGGGGGGGGTAGCTGGGTAGCTTGGAGAAGCTTTCTTTTCCGGAACTTAATCACAAGAAATGAAAATTCAAAGGCTTTAGGGTTGTACGCCCTGAAGCATAAACGAAAGGATCCAAAGCGCGCGTGTGTGTGTGTGTGTGTGGCGGGCCCTAAACCCTAAACCCTAAACCCTAAACCCTAAACCCTAAACCCTCTGAGGCTTCACATGGCCGGCATGCCACGAGCCCCGCGCCTGAGGCAGCGTCCTGTAGAGGTCTCGAAGACACGGGCCTGGAGAACCCTACCCTAAACCCTAAACCCTAAACCCTAAACCCAAAACCCAAAACCCTAAACCCTAAACCCTAAACCCTAAACCCCCGTAAATCCACCAACCTGGGGTTGAATGTTGAGGCTTTAAGGTTCCGAGCCCTTGCCAGAAACCCCCCGGAACATATGCCCTATGCAACTACGATATCGGGCTTCGGAGCTCCTGTCGGGTTTAGGGTTTAGGGTTTAGGGTTTAGGGTTTAGGGTTTAGGGTTGAGGGTAGTTGGCGTGTGTAGGTACGAACCTCAAAAAACCCTAAGCCCCAAACCCTAAACCCGACACCCTAAACCCTGAACCCTAAGCCCGAAGCCCGATGACTCCATTCCCTCCTACATGGGTGCCCGTTTTTGGGAGGTTGGTTACTTTGTAAGGGGAGCTTGAACCAAAATAGGGGAAGCGAGCACTACCGGGCCACCAAGGATATTCAGAACACCGCAGAAGCTAAATCGAAGCATCCAGTCCCCAATAGCTAGTCTTGGGGGGGTCATACCCTCCACATTAGACTTTGTAGCGTGCTCGTTTACCGTAAATAGCCCTACAACTCTTTCTTAGCTCACATGAGCATGTCCAAAAAGAGGGGTACCCTTAACATACCCCAAAAATAATACAATCCCTGTTATAGGAACCACATGCAATTTCAGAAGCCCGAAACCCTAAACCCTAAACCCTACACCTCTTTGCTAATTAGGCCACATACACTACAGTTTGGAGGGCTGTGGGGTGCAGGTGCGCCCCAAGAAAGGCCGTCAAGCGGCTGTGTCATCGGCAGAGCAGGTCACGACCTGCAGGCAGTTCGAAAATCTTCCCTAAACCCTGTAACCCTAAACCCTCAACCCTACACCCTAAACCCTAAACCCGAAACCTTAACCCGAAACCCTAAACCCTAAACCCGAAACCCTGAACCTGAACCCTTAACCCCTACATTCAGGTGTTGCTGCAAGATTCTACGATGGAGAGGTTTAGGTGCGAGCTTCGGGGCGCCGGGGAGGGAGAATTCGGGTCTTTGGGGTTGGGTCCCTAGACCCCTGAACACTAAGGTTTAGGGTTTAGGGTTTAGGGTTTAGGGTGTAGGGTGTAGGGTTTAGGGTTTCGGGTCTTTTAGGCCTGAGGTTTTTGGGATTTGTGGTTTGACCTAGGGCTTAGGGGTCTGAGGTTTACGTAAGTCTTAAGCCGCCGCTGCCACGCACCGACTTTCGCAGAAACAGGTTCCAGCCGACGTCATTGAGAACGAAGCGCACGCTGCCCCTCTTGCACAAAGGTCCTTGATGGTTGAGCCCCCCGCAACTGACCAGTCGTGCGCGACATCACCTAACTGGTGCCTGGCCTCGCCTCTCCTTCTTGCTTTCGGCTTCTTGATGCGCTGCTGACCCGCCCCCCTCTTCTTCCGAAACCCTAAGCCCTAAACCCTAAACCCTAAACCCTAAATCCTAAACCCTAAACCCTGAACCCTGAACCCTGAACCCTAAACAAACAATTCTCATCCCTAAACAAATCCTAAAACGGCCACTTCAGCCTTGGCCATCGACATCGCCAGGCTGGGGGGCTCTGGGTGCTAAGCTCTGAAGTAGTTTAGGGTTTAGGGTTTAGGGTTTAGGGTTTAGTAAAGGGTAGAGACTATCTAAGGGTAGTTGCATGTCCCTTAAGAGAAGAGTTGAGGGTGTACTGTAGGGTGTAGGGTTTAGGGTAGTTACATGGTCCCGTAGTATGGGCCTTAAATGGAGACCGCTTACGCGCCCCTTATGTATAAAACCAAGGGCCCGCATTACAGAACCGTTTAAGGAAGGTCAGTATGTCAGGGACCATGTAAGTTCCCGTTTAGAGACTAGACCCAAGCGTAGCCCAGGAATAAACAGGGTGCCTTTTTGGTTTCAAGGGGCTTCTCAGAGAACTTAAACCCTGAAAACAGGGAACGAGGGCCTATGTACTCTGGTTCCTGGGAGCAGAGGGTAGTTCTCTAAACTAGGGTACCTCTTTTGGCCCCCTATATGGATACCCGATTAATAAGGAGCCTCAACAGGAGCCTAAATTGGAGAACCACATTCTGCTACGAAGAGAATTCCAAGAATGGGGACCCTAAACCCCCAACCCTAGACCCTAAACTTTGGGATTTAGGGTTTAGGGTGCCCTGAACACCAACTCCTGAATCCTACGCTGAACCTCTAGACCCGGGTGTAACCTAGGAATAAAAAAGGGTATCCTTTTTGGGTTTAGGGTTAGGGTTTTAGGGTTTAGGTTTAAGAGGATTATACGGGAACCCCAACCCCAAAAAAAGGAAATAAGGGCCTACTCCCGGTCCTATCGACCTTGCTCTCCTACCATCACACCAGAGTGGCCTTGGTCCCATCTGCTGCGAAGGCAGCCCTGTAGACATGCGCCTTTGAAGGAATTATGTAGGGTTTAGGGTTTAGAGTTTGGACGTTTGGGGTTCAGGGTTGGGGGGTTTCGGTGGGTGGGGGGTGTGGACCCTAAACCCCAAACCCCAAACCCCAAACCCCTAAACCTAAACCCTAAACCCTAAACCCTATAACAGTTGCACCCCTACACTTCTCGTTCCCTCCGTCGGTGTTTGCTTGGAAGGTGCCAGATATACGGGCCTCTGGTTCCGCTTGTGCTCTTAAGCTCCAGGCCTTGAACATGCCGGTTTAGGGTTTAGGGTTTAGGGTTTAGGGTTTAGGGTTTAGGGTTTAGAGTTTAGGGTTTAGGGTTTAGGGGATCCCCTTCCTCCAAGAAAGTCACGGTTTATAAGCGATGTACCCTCCTACGCAAACCTTGCACCCTGAACCCTTCTCGGGGACCTTCTAAATCTCTGCATCAACTTGGGTTTAGGGCTTAGGGTTTAGGGCGCAACAACTAGCTGAACTACTCAAAGCATGCAAGGTTCGGAATCATCTCAGGATGGTAAACGGAACAATTTCCTCAGTACCAGCCCACATGAAATCCTGAAGCAATAATTTTGCTGGACGCACGAGCTGTCCACTGTGGGTCTCGCATGCGCTCCTTCTCTGGGTGAACCTCCATGTCAGTTGACTGCCAGACCCGTAGTGATTGGCTTTAGACTACTACGCTCCAACCCTTCACCCCCTTATAACAACTCGAAAACCAAGATGAACTAAAAATACAAGTTACCCTAAGGGTCCATGTACCTCATCATTCTATACTTGGGCCGCAAGTTCCCTATATAACAAGTACCTTAAGGCAAAGCATCTCCCTATTTTAGGTGCATGGACCCTTAGGGTTACACTCAGGAACCTAAGCTTCTCCAAGCAGCCCTAAACCCTAAACCCTAAACCCTAAACCACTTTAGTGCCGCGGCGTCTCCTTCCTCGCTGCCACAAAGAGCCGAAAGAGCTGCCTCACAAGGATGGGGTTGCTCTGGGCGATGATGTCGAGCTGCTCCAGCTTCTTCTCCAACCTTGGGGACCAACTGGGTTTAGGGTTTAGGGTTTAGGGTTTAGCCTAACAGGACTTTTAGGGTCCATATACCTTTCATAGGAGTTTCATATGGGGTAATGTGACCGGAATTTTGGGGTTCGTTTGGTCCCCAAGGAACAGCTCAAAGTTGTTCGCCTTGATCAGTGCATGGCATGCTTGCTCCAATACGCCTCCAGTCCCAGCGACCTGCGACAGCCTTGGGGACGAAATGAACCCTAAAAGGGTTTAGGGTTCATATTACCTTCATAGGAGTTCTAGTAGTAGTAGTAGGGTATATGACCCCCCCCCCCCCCATTTTAGGGTTCATTTGGTCTCCAAGGAGCATGTCGAGGGCATTCTCAGTGCAGAGCATGTTCCGCAGTTCGCAGTCGACCTTGTCGACGAGTGAGGTGAGGCAAAAGCGGTCAGCCAGGCGCCGCACGGACAGCGCGTGCTGCATGTCGTCTTGCGCATGAAACGTGTCTGACACAAGAAAGAAGTAGATGGCGCTGATGGAACGGACTTTGGCCTCTGGATCGGATCTCATGTCGACTTCGTTGATGCGCGCCTCTTTCCACGTTGATTGCGAGGAAAACATCTCGGCAAAATACTCCGAACGCGCGGTGAGCAAGCGCTTGTCGCAATAGATGGGCGGGGAATCAGGCAACAGGAACTTTACAAAGGCAGGCTCCTGCGTCAAGTCTAGTGAGTGTATTGAATGCACTGGGACCTTTGGAACCGGCAGACAAGCTTCACCCTCCACTCGAATCTCATTCTGCTCGCTGATGCTCGACCAGGGAAGAAATCTGCGCCACCCCCGATCGATGGCCAGCCCACTGAAGGTGTGGGTGTCTTCCTTGTGCACAGTATGCAACTGATTGCCGTCATGATGCTGTAGCTTGATTGAGAAGGTGATCTCTTCGCAAGACCAGTCTACATCCGCATGCTGCGGAGGCAGCATTTCCAGGAAGGCACCCAAGTAAGGGCAGTGATCGCCAGAGTTGTTCGTGCCCCAAGGAAACACCTTCAGGGCGCCATGGGGCTCACACAGCCCTAAACCCTAAACCCTAAACTCTGTAAACCTTCATCTTCCTAGCGCCCATGTTTCGGAACTTCCCCTGAGTGTCCATGCACCCAAATAGGGAAATACTTGACCCTAAAAATAAAATCCTATATAGGGCCTTTGGGGGGGGGGGGGGGGGGGGGGGGGGGCAAGTAGATGATGATGAGGTACATGTACCCCTAAACCCTAAACCCTAAACCCTAAACCCCAAACCCTTAGTGTCCCCACCTTCAAGCGCACCATAAAGGACTTGTCCGGCCCAGCTGGCATCGAGTACCGGCATGCCCCCCTTGCACAGCTGTGATGGTCCGCCACCACTAGGTTGACCTTAAACCTGGGTCGGGTTTAGGGTTTAGGGTTTAGGGTTGAGGGTTGAGGGTTTAGGGTGCTCGCCTGAAACCTGGGCGGACAGGTCTCTACGGGGTTTACCTTGGACCCTTAAGGTTGTAACCTTGGAGTTGTAGGGAGCCCTTTAAGAAGTCCTTAAGGCAGTATAAACAGGGCCATGTTAGGAGCACATCAAAGGGGACCTGTAGGGGTACAAACCTAGAGGTACGAGTCTAAACCCTAAACCCTAAGCCCTAAACCCTAAACCCTAAAACCCAAAACCCTAGACCAATCCCTTGAAGGTCTGTTCACAGCGGCCCAAGCCCTAAAGGGTTTAGGGTTTGGGGGTGTGGGGTTTAGGGTTTGGGGTTTAGGGTTTAGGGTTCGGGGTTCAGGTTTCGGCTTGAATTAGCATTTTTTGGGGGGCTCTATCGACCCTACACACCGAGGCCATGAGGCTAAACCCTAAACCCTAAACCCTAAACCCTAAACCCTAAACCCTAAACCCTAAACCCTAAACTCCACAATCCCTGGCCATGAGGCAACGTCCTCTTCTCCCCCTTGTCGCTGCCAAGCTCGGAGTCCGAGTCGACGCTGGTCATGGCGCTGGCAGGTTTAAGGTTGAAGGTTGAGGGTCGCTGAAAAGGTTTTAGGCTTAAAACCCTAAACCCTAAACCCTAAACCCTAAACCCTAAACCCTAAACCCTAAACCCTAAAAAACATGAATGAGGGTCTACTCTGGGTCCTAGAATCACACCCTGAGGTACCATAATACCCTGAACCCTAAACCCTAAACCCTAAACCCTAAACCCTAGACCGAAGTATCAAAGCAGAAAATCGTATTCATGTTTTGCGCTGTCCCGGCTCGTTGACTGCTTTGAGTTGACGAGGCTGTGGGGGTGTAGGGTGTAGGGTGTAGGGTGTAGGGTGTAGGGTGTAGGGTGTAGGGTTTAGGGTTTAGGGTTTAGGGTTTAGGTTTAGGGTTTAGGGTTTAGGGTTTAGGGTATCTGGTGTCACCCATATCTAAGTTTTGGAAGCCCTACTTACTGTTGGTTGGACGTGTGGCCTGCATCGTCCCTCAGAGGGTATACATAGGGGGATAGAGCGTACCTCATTCCCTCATTCCTACGAACCAACAGCAAGCCTAGTGTTCCGGGTGTGGCGGTTGGGTTTCACGGTTTGGGGTTTAGGGTGCAGGGTCCTAAACCCTAAACCCTAAACCCTACACCCTAAACCCTAAACCCTAAACCCTAAACCCTAAACCCTAAACCCTAAACCCTAAACCCTAAACCTAAACCCTACACACCCTACACACCCTAAACCCTAAACCCTAAACCTTTAGCGTGTCCAGAGCTCAGAAGGTCGACGCGCCCACATAGCCAGATACCTATATGAACGTTTAACTCCAGGTTGCAGCGGTATCCAGAGAAACAGTGGATACCCCAAACCCTAGACCCTAAACCCTAAACCCTGAGCCCTAAGCCCTAAGCCCTCAGCCCTAGAAGGGCGAGCGCAAGGCCCGGCTCATAAGACTTAAGCTCGTGGCCGTGTGCCCCTCGAAAGTCTGAAGAAGCCTGGTGGGGAGGGGGACGGGGTTAGAGTGAAGGGCTTTGGTTTAGGGTTAGGGTTTGGGGTTTAGAGTTTAGGGTTTCGGGTTTAGGGCAAAGGTGGTGTTCAGGGAATCGTCGGTTCGTGTGTCAGCAATGGGGGTCCTGCAAGGGTCCACGTATGTACCTAAAAGTGGTATAAATGTAAATAACATCCTACGTTCGCCTGTTCGCGGCCAAGCAAGGTTTGGGCTGTGGGTTTATGGCTTTCGGGTACAGCCCTAAACCCAGGGTTTGTCGGTGGGCATGGGGGGACGGGGGGAAAAACCCCAAACCCTAAACCCGAGCTTGGGTGGTCACTGAGGGCTGTGGGTTTATGGCTTTCGGGTACAGCCCTAAACCCAGGGTTTGTCGGTGGGCATGGGGGGACGGGGGGAAAAACCCCAAACCCTAAACCCGAGCTTGGGTGGTCACTGAGTTCCGCCTCTAAAGCCGCAGCCCCCTGCCCCCGCCCAACAGGAATTCCCAAACCCTCGGCCCCAAACCAAACTCATCAACAGAACCCTAAACCCTGAATGAAAACCCTAAACCCTAAACCCTAAACCCTAAACCCTAAACCCTAAACCCTGCGGGAGCCCTATACCGACCCTTCAAGCTGCCAAATCCTTTGTGCAGGGTAAACTGAGCGCAGGGCTGTCCGGACAAGTCCCAAAGGCGTGCCGTCTTGTCATGTGAGGCTGTAAGGACCTGGCGGGTTTGTTAGGTTTGGGGGGTTATGTTGGGACGTTTCCCCTTGTAGGGATTATAGTAGCGGGTGCTATGATCCCTGCTAAGGACTGTAAGGGTGAACATCCCAGGGTTTATGGCTTGAAGGGTCCAAGGTAGTTCTTGTTTGGCTTTGCTATAGGGGGTTAGAGTATACCACCCCAAAAACGTGCTACCTCAGGAGCCTTTAGGTATGGCTTGAAGGGTCGAGGGTCTTGGGGACCCCCTAGGGTCCATGTACCTAAACAGGGAATACTTGGGCCTTGAAGGACTTCATATGTAAGGAGTTTGGGGCCCAAGTATACAATCATTACGTACATAGACCCTTGGGGTACTATTGGCTTAAGAACCCCAAAAAGCAAAGATAAAAATAAAACAAAATCATAATAAACAAAACTACATTGCCCGTATAGGGCAGGATACTCTTTTGGGGGGTTCTTAAGCAAACAGTACTTCAGAGGGCGCTGTGACTTTTCTCAGCAAGCACTCAGGCTGCCCCATGTCATGCTGAAAAATGCACACGTAAAAAGTATCAAAACCTAAGCCCTAACTCTAAAGCCCCGAAATGTTCAACCTATGACCCTAGAGCTACCCACAGCCACCCCCCCACCCACCCCACCCCCCCACCCCCAGCCCTTCCGGGTTGCTCGTTGCTCTTCTTTTTGTTGCAACCTATTGCCAAAGCTGGACTGCAGTTGGTATGCCCGAAGACCGAACGTGAGTCGAGGTTCACTTCAGAGTAACCTATCCCAGAGGGTCCATTTGTAGTAATTATGGAATTATATAACCCTAAACCCTAAGCCCTAAACCCAAAAACCATACTGATACTAAATAGTGTTTTGGGATACCGAATTCCATAAGAGTACTACGAATGGACCCGAAAGGGTATGTACACTCGAGGAAGGGAAGGTAGACATGAAGGTCCCTAAACCCTAAACCCTAAACCCTAAACCCTAAACCCTAAACCCTAAACCCCAAACCCTAGAGCTCTAACTTGAGGACTGGTGGGGATGAGGTCGGAAGGGCTCCCAACAGCAGCACCATATGCCGCGAAACATCCGGATCGGACTGCGCGGGAAAGAAGAATGAGGTCAAGACTGCCCGGTAGCCTAGATTAAACAGAAAAGAAGGTTTAGGGTTTAGGGTTTAGGGTTTAGGGTTTAGGGTTTAGGGTTTAGGGTTTAGGGTTTAGGGTTTAGGGTTTAGCCGTCCCAAAAAAAGGAAGTAGGGCACTACCGGGCATCCCAGGATGGGCCAGGATCTGAGGCTTACAGATCACTGATGGCTCGTCATGGACAGCCCTGCGGAGCCCTCGCAAAGGCAAGGGTGCGCTCTCTCTCTCTCTCTCGATTAATTTAGGGTTTAGGGTTTCGGGTTTAGGGTTTAGGGTTTAGGGTTTGGGGTTTAGGGTTTAGGGTTTAGGGTTCAGAGCTATTCCTGCCGGCTCCAGGCCCGTGGCTCCCTTGATACAAGAGCCTACATCTTTACCAATACTCTCCCCATATAGCCCCCTTCAAGTCGACCTTTCTCAATATAAACTATCCCCGAATATCTAGGGCATTTAGGGTTCAGGGTGTAGGGTTTAGGGTGTAGGGTTTGGGGTTCAGGGTTTAGCGGATTTAGAGTTTAGGGTTTAGGGCCCGAACTATCCCCTAATATCTAGGGTACCCCAAAACCCTCAGGGACCTGGTACCTAAATAGGGAATACAATGGCCCTTAAAGTACTTGCTATTTAAGGAATTTGGGGGCCCAAGTATTTACATAATACTGAGGTACATGCTTAGGGAAAAGGGACCATAATCTTGGGAACTGACCATATAGCACCCCCCAAACACTCAGGCAGGCTGCAGGAACCGCCCACGAAACAAAATAGATATGCATCACGAAACCCATCCAGAATTGAATCGGGAAACCCTAAACCGCCGTAAACCCTGCAACCCCCGTAACACCCATAACCCCCGTAAACCCTGTAAACCCTGTAAGCCCAGCACACCCCATTAACCCTGCAAACCCCGTAAACCCTGCCCTAAGGGTCCATGTACCTCATCATTATATACTTGGGCCCCCACATTCCCGACATAGCAAGTACTTTGAGGCCCAAGTATCTCCCTATTCGGGGACGTGGACCCTAAACTCTAAACCCTAAACCCTAAACCCCTTTGAGGTCTTCAGCTTCGAAAGCCCCCCCCCCCCCTCCCGCTGATGTGTTGTTTGGGTCTAGCTAGGGTTTAGGGTTTAGGGTTCAGGTTCAGGGTTCAGGGTTCAGGGGTTAGGGTTTAGGGTTTAGGGCTTGGGGTTTAGGGTTTAGAGTTTGGAGTTTAGGGTTGCCCATATCTATTTGGGTCCATTTACAAGGGATGCTACTATACTTTGGGGCATAAAAGGAGGATTTGCCGCTTTAGTGTGTCAGCGTTCATGCGTTATTGGGCTTTAGGCAGCTGTCGGGTTCGAGGTTTATAGAGGGGTCAGGGTTTTGGGGGTAAGTAGGCCTTGCGATTTTAGGGGTTCAGGGAGGGCTTTCGGTTTGAGAGTAGACCTTGCCTCGGTTCTTTATTGCTCAGGTTAGGAGTCAGGGCCAGTGCCACATCCTCAACCTTCAACTACACTATACAACAACCCGTCCGTAGCAAC